GCGTATTGCCTGCCTTGTGAGTAGGGGGGGGGACGGTGAGAGGGTGAGGTCAAAAGAGGAGAGGAGTGGAAAGAAGGAGGCAGAGAGAAATGAGTCAAAGGTAGACGTAGGGAGGTTGAAGTCACCCAGAACTGTGAGGGGTGAGCCATCCTCAGGAAAGGAACTTATCAAGGCGCCAAGCTCATTGATGAACTCTCCAAGGGAACCTGGAGGGCGATAAATGACAAGGATGTTAAGCTTGAATGGGCTAGTGACTGTGACAGCATGGAATTCAAATGAGGAGATAGACAGATGGGTCAGGGGAAAAAGAGAGAATGTCCACTTGGGAGAGATGAGGATTCCTGTGCCACCACCCCGCTGACCAGATGCTCTCGGGGTATGCGAGAACACATGGTCAGACGAGGAGAGAGCAGTAGGAGTAGCAGTGTTTTCAGTGGTAATCCATGTTTCCGTCAGTGCCAAGAAGTCGAGGGACTGGAGGGTAGCATAGGCTGAGATGAATTCTGCCTTGTTGGCCACAGAATGGCAGTTACAGAGGCTGCCGGAGACCTGGAACTCCACGTGGGTCGTGCGTGCAGGGACCACCAGGTTTGAGAGGCAGCAGCCACGCGGTTTGAGGCGTTTGTATAGCCTGTGCGGAGAGGAGAGAACAGGGATAGACAGAGGCATAGTTGACAGGCTACAGAAAATTGCTACATTAATGCAAAGGAGATCGGAATGAAATGAACTAAACATCTGGGAAAGCGAGAGAGCGTTTCACTCTAACACCCAAATATAACTCTCCCAACTTCCACCTCAGAAACTATAATTGTTGTAAACTACAGCGGTTCAATGTTTTCTAAGAATAGACTAACTTAGTTTATTCAGCTAGCTAACTCGGTACAGTATTCTTCCGTGAAAACTGTCCAGGGCACCTAGTCATATGACGCCACAGCCAGCTAGCATGCCGGCCTCCAACAACAAGGTTTAGCACCAATACTCGGCCACAACAAACCACCAGTGTGTCAATACGCCAAGCAGATCATTCGTGTCCGTGTCTAACGTTGTGTGTTAGTCCCGACAGCTTGAGCGAGTCCGTCGTCAACTTATTCAGGCAGCCTGCCAACGAAGAAACCTGTCCTCCCACGGCACGAACACACAGAGAGAGCCAAGCTAACGTTAACTAACCACCCATGTCCCAAATTCCCTTGAACGACTCTGGCTACCAGTATGTAAAAACAAAACACAAATGTAGGTTAGAACTTACCCCTAGCAGCTACTGTTAGCTAGCCAAGTGCAAAGCTAGCCACTGAATCGATTCGGCCAGTTCGCGTCTGTTAGCTAGGTCGTTCCAGCTATTGTTTAGTAGCTATCCAGGTAGTAACAAGCTAGCTACATTTCGAGCACAGTAGCTACTTACTACCTAACGTTAATGCTTCAGACAATGAGGTTAGAAAAACAGCTGAATGGTAGGCATTATTGTATGTAATTATTGTAGGCAGCTAGCTGGCGTAATTACAGGTACTCTCAGGCGTGAAACAACTATCCACAGTTGCTAATAGTTACCAGTAGCTACCCGCTAGCTAGTCCAGGTAGTGGGTTAGCTAGCTTCGTGCTTCACCGGGCTCAGCCAAATACAACACTTACCCACAATAATTACATACAACAACCCACGATAACTACCTACAATACCTAACTACAATCTAAATACATAGTTTAAGCTTTACTCGACAAAGCTTAAACTATGTATATAAGCCATATAAGCCAAGCTTACCTCCCGCCAGAGAGAGACACAACCTCACCCGACGACGACGACAATGGCGGTTTTGGAGCAGTGGCTTCTTCCTTGCTGAGCGGCCTTTCAGGTTACGTCGATATAGGACTCGTTTTACTGTGGATATAGATACTTTTCTACCTGTTTCCTCCAGCATCTTCACAAGGTCCTTTGCTGTTGTTCTGGGATTTATTTGCACTTTTCGCACCAAAGTACGTTCTTCTCTAGGAGACAGAACGTGTCTCCTTCCTGAGCGGTGTGATGGCTGCGTGGTCCCATGGTGTTTATACTTGCGTACTATTGTTTGTACAGATGAACATGGTACCTTCAGGAGTTTGGAAATTGCTCCCAAGGATGAACCAGACTTGTGGATGTCTACAATTTTTTTTCTGAGGCCTTGGCTGATTTCTTTTGATTTTCCCATGATGTCAAGCAAAGAGGCACTGAGTTTGAAGGTAGGCCTTGAAATATATCCACAGGTACACCTCCAATTGACTCAAATGATGTCAATTAGCCTATCAGAAGCTTCTAAAGCCATGACATTATTTTCTGAAATTTTCCAAGCTGTTTAAAGGCACAGTCAACTTAGTGTATGTAAACTTCTGACCCACTGGAATTGTGATACAGTGAATTATAAGTGAAATAATCTGTCTGTAAACAATTGTTGGAAAAATTACTTGTGTCATGCACAAAGTAGATGTCCTAACTGACTTGCCAAAACTATAGTTTGTTAACAAAAAAATGTGTGGAGTGGTTGAAAAACAAGTTTTAATGACTCCAACCTAAGTGTATGTAAACTTCTGACTTCAACTGTACCTTTGACGAAGGGAAAGGACGTCAGAAGATCTTCTTCGAGTTTCAGTCACAGCACAATAAAAATGGCCATTACTGCCACCAACTTATACGGGGTGTAATAACAGCCGTGGTTGAGCCAATAGCTTTAACATCACATGTATGTAACATTATGGAAAGTATGATTACGGAGAGGCTAACTTACTGGAGAGCAGAGGGCTAGTATTGTCTTTATCAGGCAGCTACCTGGTGGATAACAATGATAATATAATATAATATGCCATTTAGCAGACGATTTTATCCAAAGCGACTTACAGTCATGTGCGCATACATTTTTACGTATGGGTGTTCCCGGGGATCGAACCCACTACCCTGGCGTTACAAGCGCCATGCTCTACCAATTGAGCTACAGAGGACCACTCCAATTGAGCTAATTAGTCCTCTGTTGTTCTCAATCATGATCAATGATGTTTACTCTCAGGTACAGCCGGATATAGGGAGGTCGTTATTTGCAGATGATGGGGCCTTATGGAAGTGGGTAAGAAATGTACCATACATAGTCAGGAAGGTACAGGAAGCAATTGTTGAGGTAGAGTGGTGGGCATTAATGTGGGGATTCAGGTTCTCTGTAGAGAAAACCCAAACAGTGTTCTTTACCAGGAGGAAGGTGGGAGATGAGGTATGCTTGAGGTTATATGGGATAATCTTGGAGAGGGTGGGGGCCTTCAGGTTCCTTGGGGTATACTTTGACACTAGACTGACCTGGGCAGAATACATTGAGAGAGTGGTGGGAGAGTGTAAGAAGGTGCTGAATGTGATGCGCTGTCTGACGGGGAAGGAGAGGGGGCTGGGCGTTCCTCATTGAAGACCATGTTGCATTGATCCGATCTGTAATAGACTATGGCAGTATAGCATATGGTTCGGCAGCCCCGACCTCACTGGATAGGCTAGATGTCATACAGGGGCAAGGACTCAGAATGTGTAGTGGGGCGTCCCCAGTGGCTGCATTACAGGTGGAGATGGGGGATATGCCATTGCAGATTAGGAGACAGCAGCTGGCAATGGATTATTGGGTCAACCTACAAGGACATGGGGTGTCTCATCCTGCGAAAGGGATTTTACAGGCATGCTGGGAACATGAGCGAAGACAGAACACGAGCTTTGGGTGGGTGGGTAATACCCAGGCGAAGGAGATGGGACTGTATGGAAGGGAGTTTAGTCCAACGGTAGTTATTCCTGTAAATCTACCATGGCTACTCCCGCCTCCAGTAGTTGATCTAGAAGTGTTGGAGAGACTACAGAAAGATAGGGAGGGTGTTGATCCATCTGATTTGTTTCAGAGACGTCTGGATACTGTGTATCAGGATTTTGTGTCCATTTACACAGATGGTTCAAAAGATCCAAGGACAGGACGTACTGGGTCAGCATTTGTAGTGCAGGAATGTGAGGTGGAAATCTGGAAACGTATTACAGATCATCTGGCTGTATATACGGTGGAGCTGATGCCCATACTGTTGGCCTTGCAGTGGGTGAAGGAAGTCAAACAAGACAGAGTAGTTATTTGCTCTGATTCATGTGCAGTGTTAATGAGTTTACAGTCCTTTAGCTCACGTAGCAGACAAGACCTGCTTTATGAGGTGCTACAAACCCATGGCAGGATTAAACAGATGGGTATACAGATAAGATTTACATGGGTCCCAGCCCATGTGGGGGTGGAGGGGAACGAGGCAGTAGATCAACTGGCTAAACAAGCACTTAGTAGTGGGGATGTTGATGTTGAAGTCTCAATGAGCAAGGCAGAGGCAAAAACACTGATATATACAGTGATGGTGCAGAGACTGCAGGAGCAGCGGAATAGAGATAATAAGGGAAGGCATTTATTTCAAGTACAGAGGAAAGTCGAGGAGGGGAGGACGGCAGGAAGGGATAGAAGAGAGGAGGCTATTTTTACAAGATTAAGGGTGGGACACAGCCAGTTGAATAAGACATTAAATGTGATAGGAAAGCATCCAAAAGGAAAGTGTGATTATTGTCAGGAAACAGAGACCGTGGAGCATGTATTGCTACAGTGTGGGCAGTATCAGAGGGAAAGAGAGAAGATGAGATCTAGTATGAGGGAGAAGGGGATACAGGAAATTAGTTTAAAGAGCATATTGAGAAGAACGTCATTAGATATAGTCTCAAATATTTTGTTATATTTTTTAAGAGCAACGGGGCTGGCAGGTAGGATTTAGTTTCTCCCTGTCTCTGGCCCACACTCCAGTAGGTGGCGGTAATGCACCATAACGTTGGATGCCAACCGCAGATAAACCCCACTGAAGAAGAAGATGAAGCAGTGGTTGATGCTTTTTGCCTACTCGGAAATTACTGTCTGATTCATATCGCGTGATTTCTGATTGCATCTGTATGAGTGTAGAAGAAGCGAACCGGATGTCCAGCAGCACAACATTTCGAAGGGGCGAACATACGGAGGTTAGCGCGAGCCGCGTGCACTTACATTGCTAGCATGCTGTGGTTTTCTGTAACATTCTGTCAAGTTGTTGCTGAAGATAACATAACGCATTGAGAATGGGTCTCGAGCGACATTGTAGGAAAGTACGATGCGTACTTTGTAAAGGGTCCGAGGAAAATCTGACAACTGGACGGCTATCGATGAAAGGTTCCGTCACCGCTCATCAGAACTGCTTGGTAAGATTCGAAAAACTCTGTTGCCGTTACGTGTCATTTTACTTTGGGCGAAGAATTTGGTACTGGTAGCAGTGTTGGCAACACATTTTCAGGGGAAGTTGCTAGAGGCAGGTCGATTTGTTGCTAAAAGTTGCTAAATGACTTCATTACGTAATAATGTACAACTGCGTAAATACACAATAACGGTACTCAAATTGACTGGCCATCTCGGCGTCAAATATGATTTGACATTTGTTAGTTTAGATTTGTTTGTTTATTATCCCATATTTTTATTTGTAAAAGTAATATAAACACAACACATTTTATATGATCAGATGTTTTTTTTTTAACACAACACATTGAATTATTGAACAATTACACATTATTGAACAATTACATTTTATTTATTTTCTTATTAACTAGTAAACCTACATATTCTGAACAATTATAGTTTTAAGCAGTTTATTAGTAGTTAGTTAACATGCTACCTAACTGATCAACAATTATAGGTACAAGCTAATAACAAGGTATATATGCTATCTTATTGAACAAGCAACTTAACTCAAATAATAATGTGTGCGCTAGGCATCTCTCTCCAGGTTGTTGTGCTGCTTGGCTGGCCTGCGGCTGCCTGTGCACAATGCACTTTTGCAGCCAGACTGAGTGTGTGACAGAGACAATTGTTTTTGTGTCATTTAGAGGGAAAATGCGTGCATTTTAGCGTTTGAGTCACTTTTCAAAAGTTGCTAAAAGCTCCAAATACATTTTTTAAATTAGCTAAATTTGTTGCTAGGTGCTGTTTGAAAAAAAAGTTGCCAGGGTAGTCTGAAAAGTTGCTAAATCTAGCAACAAAATTGCTAAGTTGGCATCACTGCTGGTAGGCTAGCCATGATAATTTTTTGGAAGGAACTAAAACGAGTCAATGAAGTTAGCAGATTAGTAGACAACAACATGTGGTAAACAGCTGTCAATTGACACAGTTGACAGTGGGGCTCTGCCCATACCTAGTGTAATGATTTGTCTATTGCAGCCAGGGGTTCTCAAAGTGGGGTTCTTGGACCCGAGGTACTGCAACATTTTCTCTACGATGGCAAGAGATGGGCCTTTAAAATGTTCCTTCCCGAGACTTGGTTCGTCCGGCCATGCACTGCCAAAGTCATAGTCGAACTTCTTGTATGCTATTTATATCTCACTCGAGTTGTGTTCTGATTATGAGTGGGTCCCTGAAGAATTTGATATCACAAAAGGGGTCCCTGGACACAAAAAGTTTGAGAACCCCTGGTCTCTTGACTCAAAGCGAGTGAACACTACAGAAGGACACCTTACCATATAAAATAGGCTGCATGGCTTTGTCATTTCCTTTCCCATTTAAATCCTGAATGCGGTCCGACCTAGGCAGGACCAGTTCGTTTGGGGACACTGATTTTCCCTTTATGAGAATTTAATTGACATGCCTTATGAGCTTAGTACAACTATCTTACCCCATCAGAACCCCAAAATAACATAGTATTCCATTGTTTATAAACAATGTAATTGTAAAGAAACACTGTATAGCTTTAAAACATGGTTAAAACTATAATTTGGATCCCATGAATGGCCAGTCCATGCATCCATAGCTCCATCTATGAATTTGATTGGTTACATAATATTTATCAAAAAAACTGTTGGGGCTGCCATTTGGTGTTTGAATCCCAGATTGCCACTTTAACTCTTCCATGTGTTGTTTGAATTGCAGCTTTATTCATCTGGGATTATTTGCCAGAACTCGCCAGAGTTTGATGACTTGTTTGGTTTCTCTGTAAAAGATGTCCAGAAGGAGATGAGGAGGGGAAACAGACTGGTGAGGTTATTTTAATGTTTCTCTTGGTTTAAATGTTGTTTGAACAAATTATGTCAAACACAATCATGGTTTGAACATTGTTTGAAATAATTAAGTCAAATATGTTTTAGTAATGTTTTATGTTTCATTAATGTCTGATGGTTTAGTTGGCGTAATGTCACTGTACAAGCAAACTGTATGATTTCTCCACCCCAGAGTTGCTACAGGTGTAAGAGGAAGGGTGCCACGGTGGGGTGTGAGGTGGAAAGCTGTCAGAAGTCCTACCATTACCCCTGTGCTGTGCAAGACGGGGCCCACAACGTTGAAGACAATATTGAAGAGAAGTATACGTGAGTGCAAGGCATAAAACCTTTTCTTTCTAAACAACTGTGAAATATATTTTTGAACTTCATTGTGAAGGACAATTAGGTTTCAACTGACCAATTTAATAGATAAAGGTCATGACCATGTTATTGAATGGGTGTCTATGACCGTGTTTCTGTGTTTGTTACAGGGTGTACTGTCAGAAGCATAATCCAGAGTTAACAGGTGAGGTGGCTGCTGGTTAGTTTTATGTGTCTGATTCATGTCTGTAGCCTAGGGTTGAGTTGTATCCAGATTTCCATACCTTCATACCGTTCCTGTACCATACTGGGGTATATGGTATTTCCAGCAGTGCCCACAAGGGGCACTATAAAAAAGAAAAGAAACTTGAGATATATATATATACAGTGGGGGAAAAAAGTATTTAGTCAGCCACCAATTGTGCAAGTTCTCCCACTTAAAAATATGAGAGAGGCCTGTAATTTTCATCATAGGTACACGTCAACTATGACAGACAAAATGAGAAAAAAAATCCAGAAAATCACATTGTAGGATTTTTTATGAATTTATTTGCAAATTATGGTGGAAAATAAGTGTTTGGTCAATAACAAAAGTTTCTCAATACTTTGTTATATACCCTTTGTTGGCAATGACACAGGTCAAACGTTTTCTGTAAGTCTTCACAAGGTTTTCACACACTGTTGCTGGTATTTTGGCCCATTCCTCCATGCAGATCTCCTCTAGAGCAGTGATGTTTTGGGGCTGTTGCTGGGCAACACAGACTTTCAACTCCCTCCAAAGATTTTCTATGGGGTTGAGATCTGGAGACTGGCTAGGCCACTCCAGGACCTTGAAATGCTTCTTACGAAGCCACTCCTTCGTTGCCCGGGCGGTGTGTTTGGGATCATTGTCATGCTGAAAGACCCAGCCACGTTTCATCTTCAATGCCCTTGCTGATGGAAGGAGGTTTTCACTCAAAATCTCACGATACATGGCCCCATTCATTCTTTCCTTTACACGGATCAGTCGTCCTGGTCCCTTTGCAGAAAAACAGCCCCAAAGCATGATGTTTCCACCCCCATGCTTCACAGTAGGTATGGTGTTATTTGGATGCAACTCAGCATTCTTTGTCCTCCAAACACGACGAGTTGAGTTTTTACCAAAAAGTTATATTTTGGTTTCATCTGACCATATGACATTCTCCCAATCCTCTTCTGGATCATCCAAATGCACTCTAGCAAACTTCAGACAGGCCTAGACATGTACTGGCTTAAGCAGGGGGACACGTCTGGCACTGCAGGATTTGAGTCCCTGGCGGCGTAGTGTGTTACTGATGGTAGGCTTTATTACTTTGGTCCCAGCTCTCTGCAGGTCATTCACTAGGTCCCCCCGTGTGGTTCTGGGATTTTTGCTCACCATTCTTGTGATCATTTTGACCCCACGGGGTGAGATCTTGCGTGGAGCCCCAGATCGAGGGAGATTATCAGTGGTCTTGTATGTCTTCCATTTCCTAATAATTGCTCCCACAGTTGATTTCTTCAAACCAAGCTGCTTACCTATTGCAGATTCAGTCTTCCCAGCCTGGTGCAGGTCTACAATTGTGTTTCTGGTGTCCTTTGACAGCTCTTTGGTCTTGGCCATAGTGGAGTTTGGAGTGTGACTGTTTGAGGTTGTGGACAGGTGTCTTTTATACTGATAACAAGTTCAAACAGGTGCCATTAATACAGGTAACGAGTGGAGGACAGAGGAGCCTCTTAAAGAAGAAGTTACAGGTCTGTGAGAGCCAGAAATCTTGCTTGTTTGTAGGTGACCAAATACTTATTTTCCACCATCATTTGCAAATAAATTCATAAAAAATCCTACAATGTGATTTTCTGGATATTTTTTTCTCAATTTGTCTGTCATAGTTGACGTGTACCTATGATGAAAATTACAGGCCTCATCTTTTTAAGTGGGAGAACTTGCACAATTGGTGGCTGACTAAATACTTTTTTCCCCCCACTGTATATATATATATATATATATATATATATATATATATATATATATATATATATATATATATATATATATCAAGTATAAGTTAAAAGTGTGGACACACCTACTCATTCAAGGGTTTTTCTTTATTTTTACTATTTTCTAAATTGTAGAATAATAGTGAAGACATCAAAACTATTAAATAACACACATGGAATCATATATATATATTTAAACTCAGTTTTTCACAATTCCTGACATTTAATCCTAGTACATATTCCCTGTCTTAGGTCAGTTAGGATCACCACTTTATTTTAAGAATGTGAAATGTTAGAATAATAGTAGAGAGAATGATTTATTTTAGCTTTTGTTTCTTTCATCACATTCCCAGTGGGTCAGAAGTTTACATACACTCAATTAGTATTTGGTAGCATTGCCTTTAAATTGTTTAACTTGGGTCAAACGTTTCGGGTAGCCTTCCACAAGCTTCCCACAATAAGTTGGGTGAATTTTGGCCCATTCCTCCTGACAGAGCTGGTGTAACTGAGTCAGGTTTGCAGGCCTCCTTGCTCGCACACGCTTTTTCAGTTCTGCCCACACATTTTCTATAGGATTGAGGTCAGGGCTTTGTGATGGCCACTCCAATACCTTGACTTTGTTGTCCTTAAGCCATTTTGCCACAACTTTGGAAGTCCATTTGGAAGACCCATTTGCGACCAAGCTTTAACTTCCTGACTGATGGCTTGAGATGTTGCTTCAATATATCCACATAATTTTCCTTCCTCGGGATGCCATCTATTTTGTGAAGTGTACCAGTCCCTCCTGCAGCAAAGCACCCCCACAGCATGATGCTGCAACCCCTGTGCTTCACGGTTGGAATGGTGTTCTTCGGCTTGCTAGCCAACCCCTTTTTCCTCCAAACATAACGATGGTCATTATGGCCAAACAGTTCTATTTTTGTTTCATCAGACCAGAGGACATTTCTCCAAAAAGTACGATCTTTGTCCCCATGTGCAGTTGCATACTGTAGTCTGGCTTTTATATGGTGGTTTTGGAGCAGTGGCTTCTTCCTTGCTGAGCGGCCTTTCAGGTTATGTCGATATAGGACTCGTTTTACTGTGGATATAGATTGGGATTGATTTGCACTTTTCGCACTTTAAGTATGTTCATCTCTAGGAGACAGAACGCGTCTCCTTCCTGAGCGGTATGACGGCTGCGTGGTCCCATGGTGTTTATACTTGCGTACTATTGTTTGTACAGATGAACGTGGTACCTTCAGGCATTTGGAAATTGCTCCCAAGGATGAACCAGACTTGTGGAGGTCTACAATATTTTTTCTGAGGTCTTGGCTGATTTCTTTTGATTTTCCCATGATGTCAAGCAAAGAGGCACTGTGTTTGAAGGTAGGCCTTGAAATGCATCCACAGGTACACCTCCAATTGACTCAAATGATGTCAATTAGCCTATCAGAAGCTTCTAAAGCCATGACATAATTTTCTGGAATTTTCCAAGCTGTTTAAAGGCACAGTCAACTTAGTGTTTGTAAACTTCTGACCCACTGGAATTGTGATACAGTGAATTATAAGTGAAATAATCTATCTGTAAACAATTGTTGGAAAAATTACTTGTGTCATGCACAAAGTAGATGTCCTAACTGACTTGCCAAAACTATAGTTTGTTAACAAGAAATGTGTGGAGTGGTTGAAAAACAAGTTTTAATGACTCCAACCTAAGTGTATGTAAACTTCCGATTTCAACTGTAGTAACCAAAAAAGTGTTAAACAAATCAAAATATATGTCATATTTGAGATTCTTCAAAGTAGCCACCCTTTGCCTTGATGACAGCTTTGCACACTCTTGGCATTCTCTCAACCAGCTTCATCTGGAATGCTTTTCCAACAGTCTTGAAGGAGTTCCCACATATGCTGAGCACTTGTTGGCTGCTTTTCCTTCACTCTGCGGTCCAACTCATCCCAAACCATCTCAATTGGTTTGAGGTCGGGTCATTGTGGAGGCCAGGTCATCTGATGCAGCACTCCATCACTCTCCTTCTTAGTCAAATAGCCCTTACACAGCCTGTTGAAAATTGTCCTGTTGAAAAACAAATGATAGTCCCACTAAGCGCAAACCAGATTGGAGGGTGTATCGCTGCAGAATGCTGTGGTAGCCATGCTGGTTAAGTGTGTCTGTCATTTATTTAGAATTCAAGGCAGTGTCACCAGCAAAGCACCCCCACACCATCACACCTCCTCCTCCATGCTTCACGGTGGGAACCACACATGCGTAGATCATCCGTTTACTTACTCTGCGTCTCACAAAGACACAGCGGTTGGAACCACAAATCTGAAATTTGGACTCATCAGACCAAAGGACAGATTTCTACCGGTCTAATGTCCATTGTTCCTGTTTCTTGGCCCAAGCAAGTCTTTCACACAGAGGGAGTCCATATAACTTATGTGATTTGTTAAGCCAAATTCTACTTCTTAACTAATTTAAGCTTCTGAACTGGTCCTCTGTAGCTCAATTGGTAGAGCATGGCGCTTGTAACGCCAGGGTAGTGGGTTCGATCACCGGGACCACCCATACGTAAAAATGTATGCACACATGACTGTAAGTCGCTTTGGATAAAAGCGTCTGCTAAATGGCATATTATTATTATACTTCTGCAACAACTATATTTTAGTTCTTTATTTTTTATGAATTTGTAAAATCTATAGAATTTTCTTTTCACTTTGACATAATGAAGTATTTTGTGTAGATCAATGACAAAAATACAATTAAATCTATTTCGATTCCACTTTGTAACGCAACAAAATGTGAAAAAAGTTCAAGGGGGTTTAAACTTTCTATAGGCACTGTATTTGGCACATCTTAGGTTTGCTCCATGTGGTCTTTGTAAACAAACATACCATGTGACTGGCTCAATATAATTGTTGTGGGTTGAAAAACATGACAAAAAAACACATTGGGAAGGTATTGAAAATCATACCGTCCGTATTTCAAAATAACCCAGTATACCGCCCAAGCCTGTAGAAGGAATCAATTAATTGACCATCCAAATACCCATCTGGATGTGTTTAGTTTATTAAATACCTATTAGTCCATCAGGGCAAATTTTCCTGGCTTTGTACACAAACACGCAGCCTCTGCCAGTCCAGCTGGCACTTTCAACAAAAAGCTATAAGTTAATGAGGTGTTACTTTGACTTGTTCTTGAGGGTTGTTTCTGTCTCAACACAGCAACCAATGGCACAGCTTTGTCCTGCAACGGTGATTCAGACACAGAGAAGAACAACAATGGAGAAACGTTATCCAAGGTCTGTATGCCACTGACTACTGTGTAATGTAAGAATTTAATAACACACACACAGGTCATTTATGGAATGGATAGTTAATAGCTAGGCCTATATATGATTGATTAGCTGGTCACTATTCCAGTCTTCTGGTCATCATTGAACAACATCATCTAGCTGAAGGCTCAGAAATGAATACAAATAACGGTTCTCCCTCCAAATAATGGTCCTGTAGTGTAATACTATAACCAAAAATAATATAACCTAAAGTTAATCAATATTCATTCCGAATTCCAGCTGTTTTGTCTCATCTGTGAAAAGAAAGAGGAGCACGTCAGTCTGGAACACATCGACAGTGGCATTGTCAAGTGAGTATGAGGAGGAGTCTTACATTCCAAAACAAAATGCTCATTCATTACTATCATTGATGTCAGTAAGGGGGATTTATTATGTTGTTGTAAGAGCCTGGAATGTCTCTGTCACTTAGGTTGTATTGTGAAAAGCATAAACCACAGTTTTTGCAGAAAGAGCTGAATAGTAAGTAATTTTGCTCCAATGACTCACACCAACATAGACTTGACTCTTCCTTTGGTTGTGTGTTACACTAAGGTATTCTCTGTAGTTTAAATATCAGATACATCATTTAGAAATGTATGTTTCATATATGTTTGAATTTAGAAGGACATTCAGGTGCAGTGTCAGGACCCTCATCTTGCAAGAGTGACTCCAACACATCTGGAAACCGACGGCAGAAACAAACACCCAAGGTGTGTATTTAGCTTTTTAAAATGAATGTTCTGTAGTAAAGAACTTCACTTAATATGTTATTGTAATCATATGAAAAAATAGTGAATCATAATCTCTTTGCTTTTGCTGTTGAAACAGAGATGTTTGAGCTTCTCTAGCAAGTAAGTATGGAATTCAGGTATGCATGTCGTAGGGTGGTCTGTCTCTTTGATTCTGTCCAGCTGACCTGCTCTGTTCTGTTTCACGTTTGGAGTGCATGCAACTTTATTTACATTCTTTGCTGTCAAACAGTTCAGTAAATGTGTCTCTCACATTCATAAAATATGGACTGGATTCTTTGGGTACTATTTTCTGAACACTGCGCCCATTCTCACTTTTTCTGTCAGACAGGAAGTGACATCATCAAAGTCCAAACACAGGAGGATACTGGATTACTCCTCAGACTCAGGTTGCTTTATTGTTCCAGTAGCCTCCCTTTTCATTACCTTGATTGTTGTCATTGAAAACATTTTTTTTTACAAAGACATGAGCGATACATTGCATTGATTAGTATGTTGGTATGTTCTGCAACAGATGGAGATGTGAATAGCATTGATATGGAGTTTTCCCCTCTGGAGTCCAATCTAGAAGACAGTGTCAACTCTGAACAAAGGTAATGGTAATAGTGCTCTCGTCTAGTCTCAATTCAACTACTTTCAATGGAGGCAATGCATGTTTTATTCTGACAAGCATGAAAAAGGACACATTTCTTTACCTACCAAGGCTCTCTATTGTCAAGGTTGTTCAAATAGCATGTTATCATTTCAGTGTTGAGGCGTTTCCTGTGTAGGCCAAATGTTATAAAAAGGGAGGGAGATAGTTGCCTGCCTCTGTAGCGTACAGTGACACAAGATAAATAATATTGCTCTCTTACTTCACAGAAATCATGCTGAAGCCCCCATAGCTTCCACCACAGGTAAAACATGTCAGGACGCACATTAACAAACACACACACACACCACATTACCAGGAGGTTTAATATCAAACCTAATAATATCAAACCAACTGTCATTTTCCTTAGGAAATCAGCCAGCACCTGAAAACGGAGATGGGGACGATACATTCATCGACTTAGTGAGTTACATGGTTATATTTATGTCCAATACTTCTCGTGTGGCATTACTGTATCTCTATCTTGGTCCTAAACCATTGGTTCAACCATAAGGTGCTACAGAGGTTGGTGAGTACGGCCCAGTACATCACTGGGGCCGAGCTCCTTGCCATCCAGGACCTCTATACCAGGCAGTGTCAGAGGAAGGCCCAAGAAATTGTCAGACTCCAGCCACCCAGGCCATAGACTGTTCTCTCTGCTACTGCACAGCAACGGTACCAGTGCACCAAGTCTGGAACCAACAGGACCCTGAACACGTTTTACCCCAAAGCCATAAGGCTACTAAACAAGACTGCTAAATAGCTAATCAGATGGCTACCTGGACTACCTTCATTGACCCTTTTTTGCACTAACTCTCTTGCACTGACTCTACTCACACACACTCTACATACGCCCACACACACATAACATATGCATACTGACGCCACACACACACTTTCACACTCACCACATACGCTGCTGCCACTGTTAATCTATCCTGTTGCCTAGTCACTTTACCCCTACCTATATGTACATATCTACCTCAATTACCTTGTACTCCTACACAGTGACTCGGTACTGGTACTCCCTGTACATAGCCATGTTATTCCTTGTGTCACTGTTTCAAATATTATAATTCTATAAAAATTTTTGGTACTTTGTACCCCTTTTTCTCCCCAATTTCGTGATATCCAATTGGTAGTTACAGTCTTGTCCCATCGCTGCAACTCCCGTACGGACTCGGGAGAGGCGAAGGTCGAGAGCCATGCGTCCTCCGAAACACGACCCTGCCAAGCCGCACTGCTTCTTGACACACTGCTTGCTTAACCCAGAAGCTAGCCGCACCAATGTGTCGGAGGAAACACCGTACAGCTGGTGACCGAAGTCAGCATGCATGCGCCTGGCTGCCACAAGGAGTTGCTAGAGCGCGATGGGACAAGGATATCCCAGCCGGCCAAACCCTCCCCTAACCCGGACGACGCTGGGCCAATTGTGCGCCGCCTCATGGGTCTCCCGGTTGTGGCCGGCTGCGACACAGCCCGGGATCGAACCCGGATCTGTAGTGACGCCTCTAGTACTGCGATGCAGTGCCTTAGACCGCTGCGGCACTCTGGAGGCACTGTTTCTATATTTTTAAAAATCTTTATATTTAACTCTGCATTGTTGGAAAATGACCCGTAAGTAAGCATTTCACTGTTAGTCAACACCTGTTGTTTACGAAGCATGTGACAAATATAATTTGATTTGATCTCCCTCCAGGATGCTAAGTCCCAGAGTCTTTTGCTGCCAGTGATGCTGTGTGTGGCATCTGAAGAACCCTCTCAGGGCACAGGGAGCTACAGCTCCTCACCTATCACCTGTACGCTCACTTTTCATTTTACTCAATTCTTACATACAATCCTTCCCTACTAGCCAGGAAGGAAAAACTAAACCAAATAGTTGAGTTCTCTATTGTCTCGCTCCCTCTGTGTTCTCTCTATCCTCTCAGTGTGCAGTTCTGAGCTGTGTTCTGCGTCTTGTCAAGGTTCTGTTCCACACTCACCTGGTTCACCTGTTATCTCTGGTGGACACAGCAGCTCTCACATACCTGGACCTGCTCATGATCCCATCTCGCCTGTCCACTCACCTGATCGCTCATCCGTCCACTCTGGTCCACTCAATTTCACCAGCACAGCTACTGTGTGTTATGGCCCAGTGTCCTCTCCTCCCTCTCCCTCTCACCACTCTGTCTCCCAGTGTCCCCTGGTAGGGCCTGGAGGCCCGGGTTCACCTGGTGGTTCTGGTTCTGACTCTGGCTCTGCAGCCAGCAGGGTGTTCTGGAGGAGGTGTAACGAAGCAGGCTGTACAGAGTCCATCTTCAACACCTTCATCTCTGACATGGTCGGCATCTCCAAGAGAATCCTGTCAGATCAGGCCAGACAGGAGGGTGAGTGGAACGGCTGGGGGGGTGGGCTGGTATATTAAATTTGAACACTGTTGGGAGCATATATTCAGAATTGCAGGCTTCATTTATTTTCTTTCATATGTTTTTGCTTTCTCTGTCTTTCCTTCACAGATTATGATCTCTCTCTGAGAGTGATGGAGGCCTCTGGAAAATTATCACAGATGCTCTCACAGCAGGAGAGCGGTGAGAATTAGTGGGTTAATAACTGGTGTATTGGAGTTTTTATAGCATTGTGCAAATGGTAAGGCTTCTTATTTTTAAAGCTTGTGAAGCCTGTATTCATGTATTTGTCTAGGCCAGACCCATTGTTTGTTGTATGCTCTGTAAGTTGCTGTACATGCTCTTCATGTGCCTTTAAACAACTAAAATTATGTAAATATAAACCAGATGTATTCTCCCTCCTTTGTTCAGAGTTTAAGAAGAAGCAACGGGAGCTACAGAGATCTACAACAGCCATAAGGGAAGCCAGGTCAGCCCTAAAAAGATAAGCAGCACTGCCAGATAAATTACAGCCCTCAAAGTTAAATTCACCTTTCCACATTCAGTTCATTGGCAAGGATTTTAAAGGTGTACTATGAAGCCATATATTGATCATTTGATTTCTCAATGGTTTTTGGAGAAAATGTGTTCCACTTTCTTACCTTATCATAATACCAAAAACATAACCTAATCTTATATTACCACCGTGTTCATATTTATATATAGTAGAATCAATTGTGAAGCTGGCTTTTTCACTTGCCAGAAAATGAACTTTATAGCTTCAGCAATGTAAAGCTATATATATTTCTATATAGGTAATGAAAGTATTGATCATGTATTAAGTGTATTTGCAAGTAAAATTGTTGCATTGAGTACCTTGTTTTACATACTGGCCCATCTCGTTGTAGTCTTTTTAAAGAACATTTTCTTACCCGAGTTGTGATGTTTCATCACTGACTGATTACTTTTTTCAAATCCAATGTATTTTCTACGTAGATTCCACGTCACAATACGCTGAAACAATGTTGATTCAACCAGATTGTACAATGTTGATTCAACCAGATTGTGCCCAGGGGGTTAGATTGATTTAGTACATCGGAGAAGGAAAACCTTTCACCTTTTCAACCTAAAAATGACAATAAATCAGTTTTTGACAATTACAATGTCTGCTTTAGGTATAATGACAGGAGCCGCTTGTGGATTTGACAGCTCTAACGCAGTTACACCTCCGAAACAACGCTTTGCAGATGTCAGCTAAAGCGGATCTGATTGAATAGAGCTCTTAAATACAATGTTTCCGCAGACTGCATTCACGTTAAACGCTGCATATGTCTGCTCAATCTAAAATTGCAGCCACGGATTTAATCTTACGCCCTCCACCCAACCATCCTTTTCTTTATTTGACTCTCACTTATACCCCACCCACTAACCTGTTACTGTAAGCTCTGCCCACAGAGCTTTTATCCAACAGATCAACTGTGTTCTGACCTCAGAACAGGATCCAATAAGGAAAACTCCATTGAGCTGGTCAGTGTATTTTTATTGTTTCAGCAGTGGTTATATTGAGAAAAGTCATAGTCAAATGAATTACTGATAGTTGGAATCATATACAAACTCAACTGGAATCTCAGCAGCTCCACAAAGCAGCCTTGACCCAGCCATCTCACACTCGGTGTGTAACTAAATATCTACACGTTGTCTTTAATAAACATAAAAAATAGGCAATTTATAATTTCTGTATAATATTTCTGTACAGCTGAGATATAGTGCAAAAATTACTGAAAGTAACAATACCTTAAATGTCTGAAATCATCTGTAACATCTTTCAACATAGGCTGAAAATATTGCATTCAAAAACCCAGCCAAACCAATGTGCTCCAAAGACAATGTTCTCCAAGAACTCTGTCATGGAGTTTACATTGATCCCCTGCACAGGTCTTTTTTGTTGCACTTTTTAGGAATGATGTGATTTCACAAGTGTAACATTTGTATTGCTCTAACAGATTAAGGCCTAGATTCAATCAGATCAAGCGTTAACAGGCAATAGCAGATGTTTTGGCAGTGGAACTGTGTTGGAGCCATTATATCAGTGAGCAGCTACTCTTGATCATTGTCACGAAGCCACACCCGTCCCAATAATGGAGGCGTAGATTACATCTCACATTCCAGTGTTTGAACTTGTAAACAAGGCTGCATGGGATTTCTGTTAATGCGACTCCGTGCAGCCAATAGCAATGTCCGCTTTAGGTATAAGGCCAGGAACCACTTGTGGATTTGACAGCTCTAACGCAGTTCCACCTCCGACACCCCCAAAACAACTGCTATGCTGATGTTGGCTAAAGCGGATCTGATTGAATCGAGCCCTAAGACTGGATCTCATAACCTGAGACCCTCTGTTCAATTGGAACACTTAAGACTGCTATCTGTCAGTAGTGATACATTATATAATCAATCTCACACAGGCTTTCCCAGAACCCACTGCACCATATCAGAAAGTGCAAACGTGCTCCTCACTCGTCAAGAAGAACTCAATCCACACGTATGATTGGAAGGAAAAAAGGGAAACAAAATACTGGTAAAAAACTCTGGCCTCCAAAGCTGCAGGATGAAACTACCAAACCACAGCGGGAGATGGAAGATGATCTCAATATCTAATACCTCCTCTGAACAGTTCTGTAACACCCCTTATACAGGGGTTAGGGTAGCTTCTTAACATCCTTTGCCACCCATCTCATGTGCAGTAGACAGACAACCACAGGCAGGCACTCTGGCTAACGCTACAGCTAACGGGACAGCCTGGTGGCTCGGTATCAGACTGCAGGCCAGGGCGTGGTTGGCCTTGCGTAGCTCCGTGATGGAGACTGTGAGAGATGAAGAGCAGGTTCAGCGGTCAGTTCTTGAAGGCTCCACAGCGGCTGGCTCGGCAGATGAACTCTTTAAGCAGGTTTCCTTCGACCTGCCAGAAGGCTGCAGTCTGAGTCACCTCCGTCAGGTGGTTCACACAGAACTTAAAGCAGAACTCCTCCAGGTCCTAGATACGCCACGTGGTTAAGCAGGAAATAGGAAGTTAGCACTTGTTTGAACTTGTCCAATAACAAACGCTCGTTTTAATTTTCCTTTGCTATGGTGTGCCCCAATGAACACAACCCTGGTAGAGTAGGCTTGGTAAAAGTTGCTCTTAGCCACTGGTACAAGGTCAGATATGTGTTAATCTGCCTAAAGGTTAAGATTGGGTGAAGGGTTACCTGTTGCTAGGTATGGAAGCAGGACTGACCTCTGCGTCGTAGCGCACGGCAGCAGCGAGCAGAGAGAAGGCGTTCTCGATGGTGATGCCTCTCTTGATGATGTGCTGACATAGACGCTTCAGGCGGTCCTCACAGTAGGACGTGGCCAGGTCCAGCAGACCTGACAACGATACAGGATAGACTGTCTGGATCACTGTTGGCTTGGGATGTTTGCATACATTGTTTGCTTAGTTATGTGTATATTGTATCTGCATCTGTGTTTCTGGACTTTTATAAATCAATGATCCTTGGTCTACAGACAAGTTTTACCCCAATATATATGAGCTTGACTGGTAGCACTGTCACTGTCACAGCCTTTAACCCTCCCTATTGATTAATTCCCTTGTCAGTAAGGCATGGCTGGGTGTGGGACTGACCAATAGCGTCCTCTGGGGGCAGGTCTATGTTGTCTGTGTAGAGAAACTCTAGGAAGGAGCGGTAGACTGGGTAGGTGAACTGGTCGATCTCTATCACCTCCTTCATGTCCTCATTCCAATGGGACTGGAACATGGACCTGAAGTGCTCACACCTAGCAGTGTAGAGAGGACAGCTGTTAGTATCACTAAATATCCTAAATTTAAAGGGATAGTTCAGGATTTTGGCAATGAGGCCCATTATCTACTTCCCGAGAGTCACATGAACTTGTAGATACCATTTTTAAGCATGCTAGCTGTACCAAAATACTTTCAGTCTTTGTGCTAAGCTATTTAGCATTGGCTCGTGGAACTACCTCTCTTCCTTCATACTGGACACAGATACATATAAATATTATCCACGAGTTCATTATTGACTCTGGGGAAATAGATAAGGGCCTTCATGTCAAATCCTGTACTATCCCTTTAAGTGTATTTGGGTCCTTTGAATAGCCCTAATGTAAAACCTGTGTTCTATTATATTGTGGAAAAAAATCCACATTTCCTCATTCACTACGAAAGAAACTTGCAATGGGTCTGGTAAAACAACTTGACTCTCAATAATAGCCCATTCAACTTCAAACTTTCACAATAATCCAAAAAAGTATTTGATGTTGGCTGGGTAATTTGATCTTGCTGTGTTAGAGCCCAATGAACAACCTGCCTGACCTGATCTTGAGCACAGCCTTGTGCACATGGATGTATTTGCCGTCTACGCTGAACTTGAGGTCGGCCGTCTCTGGGCTGTCAAACTCCTTCTTTAAAGACTGGGACACCGTCAGGAAGTCATCATGCTCTGGAGAGAACACACAAACACAATGAAAGTCATCATGATCTGCCAAAAGGAGAGGACGCACTCAGTCAGGAACCTCCAGCGCAGTCCCACACACACCCTTACCCATGGAGAGCAGCCTCCACATGACTGAGGGCGTGGCGAAGCAGGCAAAAACGTCATCAGTGCAGGAGAAGTGTGTGAGGAAGGGCAAGACGATGGACTGACCCCTACACTGGCCCCACATGTACACCTGGCCACTCTGAGTCTTAGCTGATGAGGTGTGTGTGGAGTGGCATGCTGCAATCTCTACAATCCTGCTGGAGAGGAGGGAGGAGATCAGTGTGTATTCATAGACCGCCTCATCTCTCTCTCAGCCATGATGTGTACTGTGTGTCTGCCTGTGTATATACACATTTCTCACCTCTCCTTCTCAGCCATGATCTGGACTGGGCTGAGTTGGTTGCTCTTGTTGCCTGTGCCCAGCTGGCCGTAGGTGTTGGCCCCCCAGGCATACAGCAGCCCCTCGTCTGTTAGGGCCAAGGAGTGGGCATAGCCAGACACTATCTGGACGGGAAGAGAGGGGTTAACGTTAGTGGAAGTAGTGTGTGTGTGTGTGTGTGTGTGTGTGTGTGTGCGTGCTCACCTGTAGCACACAGAGACCCTGCAGGCCCACCAGGCGACAAGGTGTCAGCTGATTCCCATTGTTGCCCAGCCCCAGTTGGCCGTTGCCGTTATAGCCCCAGCCGTACACCTGACAGAAACAAACGCACACACACACTCTCTTAGGTGTCCTGCAAGGTTGCTGCATACTTGTGAACCTACTAAGTTAAAGTACACTGGCTGATTGAATACAAATAGTTAACATATTTAATATCAACCTCATATCCAAACTGTGGTCACTCTCACCCACCTCTCCATTCTCGACCACAGCCAGAGAGGAGGTTTGACCGCAGGTGATGCTGACAACCACCTTGTTCTGCAGACAGTTGGACACCCTCCTGGGGGTGGGCTGGTTGGCCGTGGACCCTGACCCCACCTGGCCACAGTTATTGTAGCCCCACGCATACACCTAGACAGGGAGGTCAGAGAATCACATTTAACTGAATAACTTCTTTTTCTTCAGGTTTAATAATATAATGCAAAACACTATAGAACATCACATCTAACAGCAATACAAGTCCAACCCACTACCCTGATAATACAAGAGGCTAATTCTAGAATGGTGTCAGTCACTGGACCAGTGACATAAAGCTGACTCAGTGAATAAACAGAGGGTAACAATAGGGCCTTTTATATCAGAGCTTAGGTTTACCGGGTCACAGTAAGTGGGTTTAGACTAGGGTAAGGGGGTTTAGAGCAGTGTTTCTCAATCCATGGAATGTTGTTGGCCAGTCCCTCAGATGTTTCTTACAGACACAAGTGTTATTTTCAATATAAGCAGAACCCCATGGACCGCCCCCACACACCTCTCTCTCCTCTTTCTCTCTCCATCCTTCTCTCTATACTTTCATCTTTTAACCTCTCCAGCATTAATAAGGATCATGGGGTGAGGAGTCAAAAGCCACCTATCTCCCACTCTCTCTCTCCCTCACTTTGCCTCTCCATCCTTCCTTCGCTCACCTCTCCAGTGTTGGTCAGAGCCAGGGAGTGATGTGAACCACAGGCCACCTCCATCACCCTCTTGTTGAGCAGGCTGGCAGACACCAGCACAGGAGCCACCCCCTGGTTGGTGGTCCCGTTCCCCAGTTGGCTGTAGCCATTGTGGCCCCAGGCAAACAGCTCGCCCTCTGACACACAATGGAGGAAACGGTGTGTTAGAAACCCCAAATAGTGGTAGAAATACTTAGAACAGACATCTGGAATAGGGATTAGGGAATCATGTCAACTCTATTAAAGACATTTCTATGTCCAACGTTCTGTGCCGTCCTCTTGAACGTTGTGGCCGTGTTATGTGATGTAGTACCCTCTGTGGCCAGGAGGATGTGGGGTCCGCTGCCATAGCTGAGGCTGACCACTTTCCTCCCACTCAAAAAGTCCAGCTTCTTAGGTAGGATGGTGCTCTGGCTGTCCCCTGTTCCCAGGCAGTTACTGCAGTTCAGCCCAAACACATACACCTAAGAAAGGGAAAGGGAGATGGGTCACTGATGTTTGAAACAAGCACAGACACCAGTCAGCATGTGCAGTGTGTGTGTATTCCAGAAGAGAGACCTAGGGGTCACTCCAGATAAAACACACATGCGCGCACATTGACTACTCCAATCATCTGGCCACTTAACGTCGTCGTTGTGGGTGATGTAGATGACCTCGTTGGCGGAGGTTCCGAACACACAGGCCTGTCGTATGGACGAGAGCTCCTGGCCTTCCATCAGGCTAAACAGCGGCCATTTTGTCACATCCACCATAGTGCGCTTTGGTCTCCGTTGCGACGGTGGAGGGGTGTGTCCCCGGCTACAGGGAGGAGCAGGTGCGTGGTCTTGGTGGGTGATGCTACCCCTGCTTTTCACACAGAATATTACAGACAAGAGACATTGAGAGAACACAGACAGACAGAGTTTACACAACCACCACAGCACACACAACTCGAAGTCAGAGATCAAACACACGCTTTCACAATCATCAGAGCACACATGGGCACAAACACAGTCACACACACATCTGAGAACACACACATACTGTATAGCTCAGATAGTCCTCAGGCCACCTTTAATTCTCATTGGTGTGTTTTGAGTTGGTGATATTGAGCAGACGGAACAAAGAGCAGACCATTGTCCTGGCCTATAATCTCTAAACATTTCCGGATTATAATTTAATCTGTTCCCCACGGACCGCAGGGTTTCACATTTGTATTCTATCCCAGCACAAACCTGAGTAATCGCTAAGCCCTATATGAATCAGGTGGGTTAGTGTTGAGCTGGAACAAATATGTGCAACCAGAGGAACAGATTGTGAAACACTGACCTTAACTGTGGTCAGTTCTATATCCAGTGAGCTGAGACATACAGTTGAAGTCGGAAGTTTACATACCCCTTAGCCAAATACATTTTAACTGTCTTAGGTCAGTTAGGATCACCACTTTATTTTAAGAATGTGAAATGTCAGAATAATAGTAGAGAGAACGATTTATTTCAGCTTTTATTTATTTCATCACATTCCCAGTGGGAAGTATTTGGTAGCATTGCCTTTAAATTGTTTAACTTGGGTCAAACGTTTCGGGTAGCCTTCCACAAGCTTCCCACAATAAGTTGGGTGAATTTTGGCCCGTTCCTCCTGACAGAGCTGGTGTAACTGAGTCAGGTTTATAGGCCTCCTTGCTCGCACACGCTTTTTCAGTTCTGCCCACAAATGTTCTATAGGATTGAGGTCAGGGCTTTGTGATGGCCACTCCAATACCTTGACTTTGTTGTCCTTAAGCCATTTTGCCACAACTTTGGAAGTATGCTTGGGTCATTGTCCATTTGGAAGACCCATTTGCGACCAAGCTTTAACTTCCTGACTGATGTCTTGAGATGTTGCTTCAATATATCCACATAATTTTCCTTCCTCATGATGTCATCTATTTTGTGAAGTGCACCAGTCCCTCCTGCAGCAAAGCACCCCCACAGCATGATGCTGCCACCCCCGTGCTTCACGGTTGGGATGGTGTTCTTCGGCTTGCAACAACCCCCTTTTTCATCCAAACATAACAATGGTCATTATGGCCAAACAGTTCTATTTTTGTTTCATCAGACCAGAGGACATTTCTCCAAAAAGTACGATCTTTGTCCCCATGTGCAGTTGCAAACCGTAGTCTGGCTTTTTTATGGCGGTTTTGGAGCAGTGGCTTCTTCCTTGCTGAGCTGCCTTTCAGGTTATGTCGATATACGACTCATTTTACTGTGGATATAGATACTTTTGTATCTGTTTCCTCCAGCATCTTCACAATGTCCTTTGCTATTGTTCTGGGATTGATTTGCACTTTTCACACCAAAATACGTTCATCTCTAGGAGACAGAATGTGTCTCCTTCCTGAGCGGTATGACGGCTGCGTGGTCCCATGGTGTTTATACTTGCGTACTATTGTTTGTACAGATTAACGTGGTACCTTCAGGCGTTTGGAAATTGCTCACAAGGATGAACCAGACTTGTGGAGGTCTGCCATTTTTTCTCTGAGGTCTTGGCTGATTTATTTTGATTTTCTCATGATGTCAAGCATTCTAAAGCCATGACATCATTTTCTGGAATTTTCCAAGCTGTTTAAAGGCACAGTCAACTTAGTGTATGTCAACTTCTGACCCACTGGAATTGTGATACAGTGAATTATAAGTGAAATAATCTGTCTGTAAACAATTGTTGGAAAAATTACTTGTGTCATGCACAATTTAGATGTCCTAACCGACTTGCCAAAACTATAGTTTGTTAACAAGACATTTGTGGAGTGGTTGAAAAACGAGTTTTAATGACTCCAACGTAAGTGTATGTAAACTTCCGACTTCAACTGTATGTAAAAAAAGAAAAGAAAACGAGATACTGTTTTAAAGCAGGCAGCTAGGCTAGGAATAATTTATCAGTGGGCGCTTTGCTATAGGATCGATTGCAGACCCTTGATCTCAACCCTAGGCATTACCACACAAACATGTCAATCGAAAAAGATCAAGACAAGAGTCAATTTTCTGACACTACACAAGCAAAACTCAACTAGCCAGTTTAGTATATCAGAAAATAAAGTAAATAACGTTAACGCTACAACCGAAAATGCATTCACATTTTCTTGAGTCTTGATGAAATGAGTAGCTAGTGGAACTAGTTGGCTAAACAACTTTAGCTGATTAGCTAGCCATCTAACGTTACCTATACAGTGATCAGATATTTCACACAGTGCCACACTCGCCTTAAATTAATCCGTGGACCTGGCTAGATAACGTTAGCTAGAAAGCAAGCCAACAAAATATTCTAGTTGTAGCTAGCTACTGTTAGTAAACGAGTGTGCCAGCTGACAACAAAGTGCATTCACTGACCTACAAGAGCGCTCCATAGTCAATAATGACAACTTTTCCGGGGAGGAAAACAAAATAGATCAAAATAAAACTGTTTAAAAGCGTAACACCACCAAGCCTACCTATGAGATGCGATAGTTTGGTGCTATTACCGGTGGACAGGTAGCTAGTCTCCCGGTCACTGAAACTCTTTCTACTGCCACCACCACCTCTCCGATAATGTTAGCAGCTCCCTTCGTTGTTGATGTTAGTGTGTCCGGAAGTGAGAGACAATAAATGTTACGCGATCAACATTCAACCAAGAGCAATCGAATTCAGAGCTGCAGAGATGGTCACATAGAGTAAGAGAGGCCCAAATCCAAGGAAAATCTGTCCTACTCTGTCTCCCTCCAGCAGGTGGCGTTGTTTCGCCCGCCAAGGAAGCAGTTTTTGTATGGTGTTCAATGAGTGTCGAATTTGGTCAACAAAAAAAATGAATGGCTTATTTGCTACGTGAGGTGTATTTGATCGAATATAATTGTCGTAATGCTTAAGTTGTTACGAGTGTACTGACAGAAGTAGGCCACGTGACATCACTGCAACTTTGAGAAAAAACGTTATATCAGAGTTGTCACGAGATGGCATGAGTGAATGAATGAATTGAATGAGGCTAGTAGCATAGCATCTCTCCATTGAATACAGGCGGTTGACGCCAACAACACTCATCGAATATTCAAAAAAAGATTACAATAATGAGATGTATCCACCAATCTAAAGAAAGTATAGGAGGGAGCTAGATCACCAATGCCGCTTTGTGGACAACGACTCCCATTGTTTGGGCTGAGAGATGTATATTGTCAGTATATCCTAAATGAATAGGGCAAAGGTCACTAGATGGCCGTCTGACCATAGAATAAACACCCCCAAAACATAAATATGATAAATATTTGCATTTCTCAACATAATCCTCTTATTTCAGGTTTTGCAAGAAGCTGTTCCTTGTGTTATCCCTCATGTCAGTCAATGGCACATCCATCTTCCATTTCTTTAGTAGCTCTGAAATAAATGAACCAAACAAACAATTTATCAACTCAGCTGGTGCCACAGGTATAACCAGGTGAAGCCACTGCCATGGTTACCATTCCCAGTGATTGAAATCCCAGTCAGCTAGGTGGATCAGTCCAAGGGAGATAGAGCTGGCTTAGAAAGCTGCATGCAAACACATGAAAATAAGTAGAGATCTCCTCATTTGGTTATGACTGTTCAGTGGCATTCAGCTATACTGTAGGAGCATTCTTATCAGCACAGAGGTGTGTTTTTTTTTTTTTTACCTTTATTTAACCAGGTAAGCCAGTTGAGAACAAGTTCTCATTTACAACTGCGACCTGGCCAAGATAAAGCAAAGCAGTGCGATAAAAACAACAACACAGAGTTACATATGGGGTAAAAAAACAAAGTCAAAAAATACAACGGAAAATATATATACAGTGTGTGCAAATGTAGCAAGTTATGGAGGTAAGGCAATAAATAGGCTATAGTGCAAAAACACTGGAATGCTAGATGTGCAAGAGATTATGTGCAAATAGAGATACTGGGGTGCAAAAGAGCAAAATAAATAACAATATAGGGATGAGGTAGTTGGGTGGGCTAATTTCAGATGGGCTGTGTACAGGTGCAGTGATCGGTAAGGTGCTCTGACAACTGATGCTTAAAGTTAGTGAGGGAGATAAGAGTCTCCAGCTTCAGAGATTTTTGCAATTCGTTCCAGTCATTGGCAGCAGAGAACTGGAAGAAATGGCGGCCAAAGGAGGTGTTGGCTTTGGGGATGACCAGTGAGATATACCTGCTGGAGCGCAGAATACGGGTGGGTGCTGCTATGGTGACCAATGAGCTAAGATAAGGCAGGGATTTGCCTAGCAGTGATTTATAGATGGCCTGGAGCCAGTGGGTTTGACGACAAACATGTAGTGAGGACCAGCCAACAAGAGCGTACAGGTCACAGTGGTGGGTAGTGTATGGGGCTTTGGAGACAAAACAGATGGCACTGTGATAGACTACATCCAATTTGCTGAGTAGAGTGTTGGAGGCTATTTTGTAAATGACATCGCCGAAGTCAAGGATCGGTAGGATAGTCAGTTTTACGAGGGCATGTTTGGCAGCATGAGTGAAGGAGGCTTTGTTGCGAAATAGGAAGCCGATTCTAGATTTAACTTTGGATTGGAGATTCTTAATGTGAGTCTGGAAGGAGAGTTTACAGTCTAACCAGACACCTAGGTATTTGTAGTTGTCCATATACTCTAGGTCAGACCCGTCGAGAGTAGTGATTCTAGTCGGGTGGGCGGGTGCCAGCAGCGTTCGATTGAAGAGCATGCATTTAGTTTTACTAGTGTTTAAGAGCAGTTGGAGGCTACTGAAGGAGTGTTGTATGGCATTGAAGCTCGTTTGGAGGTTTGTTAACACAGTGTCCAATGAAGGGCCAGATGTATACAAAATGGTGTCGTCTGCGTAGAGGTGGATCTGAGAGTCACCAGCAGCAAGAGCGACATCATTGATATACAGCTGGATTGCATCCTCACCAACCAACACTATGAAGAGGCATCACGACTTCGCTGATAATAACTGAAGCGGTTATAATACAATTCAAGGCCTTGGATGCTTAACTGATCTGCTCCACTCATTGGGCTTTTAAGGGAAAAGCTTGGATGGACTCCAACCATCAGAGATCTGCAGAAACCTCCATCCTTCATAAAAACCTAATGTCCTGTCTGTCATGGGCCTGGCCCTGTGCAGACAGTCTCACATGCATATGTCCAAAGTCGTTCTAGTGGACCTGGACAGGGCAGTGAAGTCCACCCTTCTCCACTGTCTTGAGAAGGGTGAGCTGGCCCATGCCACCCCCACCGTGGGCTTCAATGTTGGCTCGTTGGAGCCAGACTCTGGCCCGGGCCAGGGGGGTATGCAAGCCCTGAGGAAAGACCACATGGAGGGCTGCGATGCCCTGGTGTTCATGGTTGACGGAGTAGACCGGGGGAGGCGTTGGGGACGAGAGGGTGCGGGGGAGTCCCCCTTAATGGTGCTAGTTAATAAGACAGACCTTGCAGAGGCCATGGGGCTCCAGGAGGTGACGGATGGGCTGTGGCTGGAGCAGTCCTGGGACATAGACTGGGAGGTGCAGCGGCCCTGGGCTCTCTGGCCATAATCATCAGAGACCGCTGAGGGGTAACGCAGACACTCACACATGGATATGAAAAACATTCACAAATACACAATACAAACTGGTCAATGGACAAGGCATGGGCACTCAAACGGTTTGGGTTAAATGCAGAAGACACATTTAGGTTGAATGCATTCAGTTGTGCAACTGACTAGGTATCCTCTTTCCCTTTCATACATACACTCACACAATACGAGCACAAAGGGGAACATGCAAAGCTTTTCATAAGCTAACTGTGCTCCTATCACTATAACTAGCTCCATGCCTCAGAATGTATCAGGCCAGTAGGTTATTTGAATATAGAATCAGTTGTGACATTCACTCTTAAGGAAACTATTCAAATGGGACTCGAGAATTGTTTGCAGAGAAGATTGGAATGAAATAGCTACTTTTATCAAAATGACAAAATCCTATGGGATCATCCACCCTTTCCTACGCTCATTGCAACCATTATACGTTAAACTAATCTCCTCACAGCAATGTCACTTGAGTGCCACTCATTTTTAGTTTACAGAATATGCAGTACCCTTCTACACCACAAGGTGGTCTCCTTACATCATCCACAATTCAATCCTGCTGGTTTGTTTCTCCCTGGAAGTTGGATCATTGGTTACTACTGATTTAAGTATTGACACTGCCAGTCTGAAGGGATTGGTGACATACAATGACATTAAAATTAAACCTTTAGTCGTACTTTCAGTAAAGCTTATGATTATTGATTGGTATTTTACAGTCAGGTATATTTCTCTAGGTACCATGGACAGCAACTCAATCACGTAAATGCGAGCATACACAGTCACTTTGTCCCTTATTACGGACTAGGATTCTCTCTCCCCTTTTTTCCAGACACACAAAGACACAGACGCCTTGATGTTAGTGTACAAATCAGAACGCTTGCAGCAGTGAGGATCCAACGGCTAACAGGAAGTTTATTTTGGTTAGGATCAGTAATACAGAGACCATGTCCTGAGGGCGAGATGGGAGGAAGTGATATCATCATAATCCCCCGATTGGTTAGCAGAATGTGACATTGATGGGTTTGTTTGTGGTGAGGTGAATGTAGATATGGCTGGACATGTCAAAATGGGTTACACTGCTCAGCCCATAGAATTAGGAATTATAATATTATTAATAGGATCTCTATGGCTTAGCCAATAAAATAGGAGTAGAACAATCACTACAGCAGAGCAGCATTGACTAATCCCATGGCAGACTCCAGTAATAAGGGAGACACCACACACACACACCAATTTCAGATGCTCCAACAGCTTCTAGCATTTGTTTTTTTCATTAGTACGTTCGAGGAAAAACTTTAGTTTCGTAGAAATGAAAAACAAAAAGGCACAATGTCAATGAATTTCAACTCATTCTCGCCTTTAATATGCACAAGAGTTGAAAGCATCAGTGAGCCACCTTAAAGAGAAGAATTCAATCTAACATTTATTTTAAAAAATATATAAACATTGAGGCCAAAACGCAGTCTGTTGCTATTTCTCTCTATTCTCTTATTTAAAACAACTTTTCTCCGGCAAGTAAAAATCTTGCAACAAACATAAGCTTGTATCGTTTTCCGATACAAGACAAAGAAATTGTAATTCTTTAAAGTGGCTCGGTCCGTCTAGGCGGATAGTTCATGACTGTACACCCCCTCTAAGGTTTTGTTCATCAGCAATAAACAACTACTCCCTTTCCCACCCCTAATCCAAACCCACTACTGCCTGCGCCTCCACCCACCCACCGTCTATCAGTAGTTAGCAGCCTAATGGCCTGTTCAAACATACAGCTGCAAAATAGTATTATGCCTTGTGGTGGCAGAGTAGCAACTTATTTGACCTCTACAGTAGTGACCGGATGACTGGACCAACCTTTCGTGGGCGAGACCTCACCTAGAAACGCCCCATTGCTACTGCTGCCAAGCTTCCATTGAAAACAACAACTTCCCTGCTTTTGCTGTGCACTGTTTGAACAGGCCATAACCGAGGAAAACAAGTCCAGACCAGAGACCTAGGTCCTGGAGACCAACTGGGACCAGCTCTGGGACGGTAAAATGACACAGGTGTCAGGTTCATCAGCATGTCATCACAATACATATGAATGTTACAAAAATAAAGATAAAACAAAAATCAAAAAACAACAACTGAACAAACCCCCCAGTCCGTCTTTGATAGTACGTAGGTTATCGTTCTGCAGGGTGAGTCCAGTTCCAACAATGACTTGTCATCTGCAGCAGCTTTGTACAGGCATTATGGAAATATATATTTATATATTCTCAAGAGACGAGTTTAAGAGATACACATTGCATTTTGTACAATTATTCAGGTTGGTGATGACGTGACAAAAAAAACACGAAAACCCCCCAGATGAGTGTAAAGTTTTGTATAGGTCAGAGGTCGTGTTCTATCCTCCGTTAGTCCCGTCTTCAGTATCTGTCTCTTTCCGCAGGAAGAGAGAAAAACTATACCTCTCAGACATGTGCATAAGATGAAATAATACAAGTAAAAACGGCAAATCTGGAAGCTCCACAGCCTGGACCAGAACAAGCCAAGTAGATTTTTTTCAATTTCAACATAAAATATACATATCTTTAAAAGAATGGGAGAATTTAAAAAAGAGAAACCCCAAAAAATCCCAGATTTGCCAAATGGTCCGTGCTAGCTGGAATCCTTGGGACGTCAATACCCCCATTGAAGTAGACATTTAAAAATGGATAAGGGTTACGTAAGGGTTATGGTTAAGATTAGGGTTAAGGGTAGGGACGTCCCAAGTTTCCCGGATAGCACTGAGCATTGCCAAATATAGGTTTGTTTGAGTTTGACTGTTCTGGTATTGAAGAATTCAGGTGAGATTCACCTGTCAACTACTCTGTTGGATATCCCAATAGTGACATCACTACCTGCCCCTCCACATGACGTGACATCACTTGTGCAGCAGGATTTAATGTCCTCTGGGGAACAGGGCTACAGTAGAGATATTCCGTCACAATACCCAGAGGTATTTTCCTCCAACTTGGGTAGCCAGATCTGTAAAAAGCTTTTTATTTTGCTCTCCCCTGAATTAGAGCAAAATTGCAAAACAATTGTATACTTCTTTATGTACGAGTTTTGCAGTATGATATATTTTTTACAAATTTCCTTTTTTTAGATACATAAAAATCAATAACTCCACTTTATGATTCAAGAGAAGTCAAAAGGAAAAAAGGAAAAAGTAATACAATATATTTCAGTCAGTCACAGAATCCTCTTTCGCCTAAAGCCCACCCTTTCCTGTCCTAGGACTTTGGGAAGTGGGATGGGGTCCATGGCTATTCATGGGTTAGCTCTAGGGTTAACGTCTTCAATTGGGGGGCACTGGGGTGCTCGGCCATCACTACAGAGAGACTGTGTGAGTGAGTGAGTGTGTGTGTGTCTGTGTGCGCGTCTGTGTGTCTGTGTGCGCGTCTGTGTGAGTGTCCACGACAGAGGGAGAATGACAATCCAGGAGTGAAGCACAAAACTAAACCGCAAACAAACGGCAGTATCCTTTCCCCATCTGTGATATATTAGCTTCTAAAACAAGTATGCACACAAATTCTTTCCAAGTGTCTTCAACTGTGTTTTTGTGCATGTGTGTGTAGATAGTGACATTTGGCAATTCAAAAATATTGCCCCAAAAGGCTTTTTCTTCCTTCCTTGTGATTTTCACGTGACATTTCAAAGCATTTGCTAGGACTGCCTGAGATCAGATTGTACTGGTGCTGGACGAATGACCTGGACCCGTATGGGTTGCCAGGTTGTGGTGGAGGGTGGTAGTTTTCAGGGACCCTTCAGTACAGAGGTGAATTATTGTGGCGGTGGTGGTGGGCGAATCCTTCAATTGCAAGATGGGTGGCCATGTTGAAGTAATAGTAATGGTAGATGGGTACAATCCTTCTGTAGCAGGTTGCCAGGTTGGTGGAGAGATAGATGGATGAATGTCTGAGGTGGGTTTGACAGTACCCGTGCAGCTCGATGGACCGGCTCCTAGAACTTGAACTCCTTCGTCTGCAGGTTGGAGGCGGGGTCAAAGTTGAATGTCCCTCCTTGGGTGGCTTCAGGAATTAAACTGGGATCCTCATCAATCTGAGAGAGAAAGAAGAAGGGTAAGAGGTGTGGGTGTGTGTATGTGTGTGTGGGGGTGTGTATATATATGTGTGTGTGTGTGGGGGTGTGTGTGTGTGCACGTGTGTTTTATATCTCACATCGTCGCCTGAGAAGTACTGGTCGATGATCTCGAAGGCTAGTTTGTAGATGTCCTCATTCTCATGTTGCTGCAGATTCTCAACCTTCTCAAGACCTAAGATCAGAGAGCAGAGCAGTGGGAGGCGCAGTCAGACAACAGCAACATTCACCTCAGACACACCTTCAGCTATGATGACAATATGCACACACACCTCCACACTCCTCTATGATCTCAGCGATGGTGCTGGCCTCATCTCCGGCCATGATGAGGACGTTCTTGAGGCCGTCTAGGACCACCTGGACCACCTGGGAGTCCTTCACTGACAGCAGGCTGCAGAACGGAGGGATCACATTCTGCTGCACCAGGTACTCCACCTACACACACACATCAACATATCATATACATAACTGTAGACAGCAGTAAGCATTTCTGACAAATAACTCCTGACACGTGTGAATGTGTAAGCAGGTTCAGTCACTGGCATTAAACTACTTCATGAACTCACGGTTATGAATGCTCCAGCTACAGAGGCCCTGGCATGACAGTGCTAGCCCCGTACCTGTCTCTTGTACCTCTGTCCATGTCAGTAGTCTGGCTGATATTGAGGTTGCAGTGTGTGTGTGTGTGTGTGTTACTTTCCTGGTCTTTCCTGCCGCTGATGGTGAGGTTGCTGATGGCCCATGCTGCCTCCTTCTGAGTCCCAAAGTCCCCCTGCAGACACACAGGCTGTCAGCACTACAGAACAACTCAGTACACAGCAATGACAGGAATATAATCTCTACCACAGTCAAACGTACACACCAACCACACACCACAGCATGTCTCTCTCACCTTGGCCAGTTGGTGGATGATCAAGGGGACGAGTCCTGCGTCGATCACTGCCTGAACCTGCTGCTGGTTCCCAGCCGTGATATTGGACAGGAACCACACTGCTTCCTGTAAACGAACCAATCACTTACGGTTATGCCAGAACACTTTCTAATAACAGTCTAATCACACACAGTCAAACCAAACAACTTCTTATTAGCAAGACAATCATAGAAAAGCCTTGACATAAGCTTCTTCCCTCTTCCCCGTTCCCTCTCCGGGAGAGTGTGTGTGTGCTACCTTGTTGATCTTCTCTTTGGGGTGTGTGAGCAGGTTGGGAAAGTGGGAGAGGACGTCACAGTTGAGCACCACCTGTGTCTGCTCGTCTGTCCCCGTCACAATGTTCCCCACCGCCCTCAGAGCAGCAGTCTGTAGGAAGTGACATCACAGCAAGTCAACACCCACAAATGCATAGAACACCCTGAATTTATTACTTATAAAATGCATCATTTCCTCCCTTCCTTGAAATAAATCACTGAGCATGTTGTAAGTAGAGCCATGAGTTTTTCCTGAACATATGGCAGCAATGTTTCTGCAAAAACTCCTACCCCTAGTGATAGGTAGAGTCAAGATTTCTATAATGTTGCTTTTACCAATCAGTGTTTTTTTTTTGTTTTTTTTCCCCAGATAGGAAGGAGGTAGTAAATTATAGATTTTATAAGTACACCATACCAAAGTTAGTTTAGGTCTTCTAAATCAGAATGTTATCAGTTGCCATGGTCCCCTGTTGACCCCTTACCTGAACTTTGACCTCCTGGTGGCTGAGCAGGGGGACAAGGAAGGGGACCACCCCAGAGTCTATCACCATCTGAATCTGCTCATTCCCACCGTCTGTCAGGTAGGACAGAGCCCACACCGTATCCACAAGGATCTACAAACACACAATGTTAACGAAGGAGTCCAATAAGTGTTGAGTTTCACTAAAAGCTGCTGAGTATGGTAGGGCTTAACATGCTGAAGTCAAACTTGTGACAAACCGTTCAATTTAGTTGAACGTACAGTGCCTTCAGAAAGTATTCACACCCCTTGACTTTTTCAAAAAATTGTTGGGTTACAGCCTGAATTTAAAATGGATTAAATTGACATTATTTGACACTGGCCTACACACAATAATACCCCATAATGTCCAAACGGAATTACGTTTTTCAAAATGTTTACAAATTAATTACAAATTAAAAGCTGAAATGTTTTCAGTCAATAAGTATTCAACCCCTTTGTTATGGAAATCCTAAATAAGTTCAGTAGTAAACATTTGCTTAACAAGTCACATAATAAGTTGCATGAACTCACTCCGTGTGCAAGAATAGTGTTTAACATGATTTTTGAATTACTACCTCATCTCTGTACCCAACACATACAATTATCTTTAAGGTTCCTCAGTAGAGCAGTGAATTTCAAACACAGATTCAACCACAAAGACCAGAGAGGTTTTCCAATGCCTCGCAAAGAAGTACACTTATTGGTAGATGGGTAAAATAAAAAGCAGACATTGAATATCCCTTTGAGCATGGTGAAGTTATTAATTACACTTTGGATGGTGTATCACTACAAAGATACAGGTGTCCTTCTAACTCAGTTGTCGGAGAGGAAGGAACCGCTCAGGGATTTCACCATGAGGTCTATGGTGACTTTTTTACAGTTAAAAGAGTTTAATGGCTGTGATAGGAGAAAACGGAGGATGGAAAACTGATGATGGATCAACAACATTGTAGTGAGTGGCCGAGTTACAGTTTTGACCTAAATCTAGTTGAAAATCTATGTCAAGACCTGAAAATGGTTGTATAGCAATGATCAACAGCCAATTTGACAGAGCTTGAAGAACTTTGAAAATAATGATGGGCAAATGTTCACAATCCAGGTGTGGAAAGCTCTTAGAGATTTACCCAGAAAGAAACACACCTGAAATCGCTGCCAAAGGTGCTTCTACAAAGTATTGACTCAGGGGTGTGAATACTTATGTCAATGAGAAATTTCTGCATTTCATTTTCAATACATTTGCAAAGATGTCTAAAAACATTATGGGGTAGTGTGTGTAGATGGGTGAGATTTTAAAACTATTTAATCCATTTTGAATTCAGGCTGTAACAACAAAATGTGGAATAAATCAAAGGGCATGAATACTTTCTGAAAGCACTGTATGCTCTCATACTTACATTTATATCTGTGTGGTATATAAGAACACACAGCGCTGGGAGAAGCTGGGAAAGAGAAAAAAACAAAAAAGAGGTAGAGAGAGGAGTGTCAAAAGCAGACTGGAAATGTGGCCATGTAAAGTTATGTAGCTAAACATTCCCCCTAGTGATAAGAAAGTGATTTGGCTGACTGGCTGGAGAGAGCACCACTATAACGCTACTCATACATTGGAACAAAACACACACACGTACCTCCTGTACTGTTTCCATGGGGGGCGGTGGGTCCTTGTTGCGGCAGAGGTTGACGATGACCCAGGTGACGTTACGGAGGAAGGTGATGGGGATGGAGGGGTTAATAAACGAGAGCAGGGGCTTGACCACGCCCAGGGAGATGACGTAATCCCTGCACTGTGGCCCGTCGCCTGGAGGAGGAGCATTACAGGTCAAAGGTCATCATTGGGGCACAGAGTTTTTCCTGGTCCGGTCACATGGTTAGTTATTACAAAAAAAATACACAAACATAACTTTAATGATGTGTTAACTGTATCAGCCATACTCACCTATGATGTTGCCTAGCGCCCACACGGCCTGTTCACACACATTGTGATGGGGAGAGTGGAGCAGCCGCAGGAACAGGGGAACAGCATCTGTACATGCGCACACACACACACAGAATTAGGAATTTACATATCACAATTTAACACACACACAAAGATAACAAACATTAGCGAAGCCCAGACAGTCAGAATAACAGCAGAGCAGAATGACGCAGGGTAAACTGGTGAACTTACTGGATTTGACCACAGCCTGGGTCTGTTGTGACGTGCCAGACGCTATGTTGGTCAGGGCCCAGGCTGCCTCGAACTGGAGAGACGGACTGGAGGAGAGAAAGGAGCGGGGGAGAGTGAGAACGAAAGAGAGAGATCATTCTAGGCCTTCCATTAATATGAACACGTCTTTCTCCTAACCCTGCCCCCACTTCGTCCTCCTCTTCTCGGTCCACACACAATGTGTGTGTAAACTATTGGTTTGTTGGGTTGCAGTGCCCGCTGTGCTCCAGGAATTTCAGTGTCTGACAGCCTGCAGCAGTGGTCGCCATTACAGCTGTGCATCCGCAACTCATCGTTATGGTGACCCTCCAACCCCTGCCCCATCCTGTACTGACTCCAGGGTGTGTGCGTCTGTCCCCTTCCTGACCACAAGGTCCTGTGTGTGTGTGTGTGTGTGTGTGTGTATATGTGTGGCCCTGAACACAACAAGGTCCTGGGAATGGGGGAAATCCAGAGGACAGGAATGCTCTTTTATTTGGGTTGGCACCGGACGGCAGGGCCAACGGACCACCCTGTGCATCACACACACACAAAGAAGCATGCACACACACACACTAGCAGCCCCTCTACATCCTGTATCCTAGCCCGTCTTCAGTAATCCCAGTAAATGTCCCAACAGTGCATTAGTAGAGGCGGTCCAGGGGAGGACATTGGGTTAATGCATCAGCAGACTCACTTGTCGTCTCTCTCCAGACATTTGACTAAGATGGGCAGGATGCCAGACTTTATCAAGTCATCAATGGGAGGGTTTCTGTCACTGGAGAGGAGTTTTCTGACAGACACAAAAACAGGAAGAGTTATGTTTCAATCATGGAATACAAATGTGAGAGGTTCAAAGCAGAGAGGAGATCACACACACCAAACACTTACCTGGCAGCCTGTACGGCACTAAGCTGGACCACCGCATTATCACTGGTGGCGTTCTTCAGCGAGAGAGAGAGAGAGATAACAAGTTACAGCACAACACTCTCACAGAGGGAGGGAGGGAGGGAGGGAAGGAGACAGGGAGAGAAGGGGAGAGGGAGAGCAAAAGAGAGAATGAAGGGGATAAGAGTTTTAGTCAATATTCTTTGTGTGTACACAAAGTTGAGCCTTACCTGTAAGATGGCCTCTAGTGTGACGTTTTGCTGCAGAGTGGGAAGGGGAGGGACAAAATCAATACCAGGTTACAGATAAACAACATCAACAACATGGGGGAAGGGGATACAATTCACATAAACATCTGGCTACTTCACACTGATCGGTCAACATGTCATTGACATAACACACACACAGTCTGACCCTCTCTGTCGGTCTCTGTCTCTCTCCACACGCAAGTGTTTTCAGAGTGCTGTGTTTCCTCTGCTGCCGAGTTGGTGTGTTGGCTGGCTGGTTGAGGCTGTGTGAGCTCACAGGCTGAGAATGCCATGCTACTCCATCATCACCATACATCACCTGGTAGCAGCTAGGTCAGGTCAGACCAGGGCCTATTCCTCATCTCATTAGCTCAATGACAGGCCTCCAGTCAGCAGTGTGAAAAGGCTTTGAGCACGATACATTATACAAACCCTAGAGAGGCCATGGGGGGGGGGGGGGGGGGGGCTTAAGGACGCATGTCTAGATTACAACATCATACATAGAAATGTATTGTATAGAGCTGACACAATGCCCAATGTCAGTAGCTCTTCAGAAGTAGGAATGGCCACACCTGCCCCGTCCAAACAGACAGAGAATCTAGGCAGTACATTTCAATCTGGAACAAGTCTCTCGTCTCATAGAGATCGCCATTCCACTGCAATGGCAAATGGGTCGCTAAAGTGGAACACACAGACATCCCACATACCCCTTTGAAGTCGGAGTCGAAGTCGGAGTCCTCCAGACTCTCCTCCTGTGGGACATTCCTCTTCTTCAGTAGATGCTCGTCTCGTTTGTTCTGACGGAAGACAGGGGAGAGCGAGGAGAGATTAAAGAATAAAACACCACATTGATGAATACTGAAATATGTAACTGTGAGAGTAGCAGCATAAACTCCTACAGCAAACTTTTTGTAACTGCAAGCCAGATATTGGTCGAAAAACAGCTGACCCTCGCATCCCTAGAATATGTGTGTCAGTGTGTGTGTTGGGGTCATCTCTGGGTCTCTCCGTACAGGGGACAAAGTACAAACCCTGTGTTGTTATGAGGATGTTCCCTATAGTTACTCAACTTTACATAGAGACACCCTAATTAAAACACCCCCATTAAAAACACACAAAAAAACGAAGGCATACACTCCCAGAAAGTTGAGGAGCAGGCACACCCATACTGGTGTTGAATAGAGCGTGAAAAAGACAGACATGTGAGTCAGTGGTAGGAGGGAGGGAGGAGAATCCCTTGGCCTACATTCCAGTGTGTGTTGCAGTGCTGGGCCGTGCGTCACTGCTGGTGACTAACCATCCCTGTGCTGCTCTGGCACAATGAAATGTGCAGCCAGACTACAGCAGCACACTAACTCAGCTCTTTCTTTTTTTTCTCTCTCTCGCTCACTGAATTAGGCTCTAAACTATTTTCTAGCCATGTCTCACTCTCTTCCTTAATGCTAACTTAGCAACGACTACAGGGGATTGTTTTAACCTCAGATAAATAAAAAAACCTGTGAAGAGGAAGGAGAGTGAGGAATGTGTCAAAGCCCTGAGGGGGGTTTAACGGAGGAAGAGAGAGTTGAGAGAGGGGAAAGTAAGATTGAAAGCCATGACCAGGGGACTCATGTCAGAGAGATCACCAAGTCAACATGAGAGCAGCAGACTGTTGGATGTATGAGTGACAGGGATACCTGCCAATCACAGGAGAGGAGAAGAGAAACCCTCCAGTCTCTGGCTCTTTACAATGTAGTACTGCACGATATGGGCAAATCATCTAACTCAAATTATTCAGATTCTATGGTTGGTGTTGTTTGGCATGACAACTAATGACAAAGACAGGTACAGTAGAAGTTGTTGTGACAGGGTAGGAGCCAAAGTGTTGGTCAGAGTTTCCCAGGGGACCCTTATTAGGTTTGAATGCTACTACATTCATGGCATGTAAAAAAATGTGCAGCCTCTTACAATATGGATATTGCACATGTCAATATTTCAATTCAAATTTGATTAATTGTGCAGCCCTATTACAAAGGCGTAAGTAAATGCATGACTACCATACTAATTGGGTGTATTGTAGCCATTACAGTGTTCTGATTTAGGCATCCACATCAAACAGGCAAGCACAGCAAGCACCTCAGGATAGATTACATTTGGATATTCTTTTAAATCTTTGCTAATCCCCATGGACTGGCATCTAATCTAGGTTTCAGCATCCTGATGATGTAGTCTGTTAATGATAATCACCAAGTCTGGATAGTACAGTTAGTATACAGGGACAGCACATAAGTATGCAGATCAAGGCGAAGGGTAGTGAGCATGTGGAGGGAGTTAGGCTTGGGCGGTATACCGTATATTTGGAAATAGCCACGGGATGTTTTTTCAATACCATTGAAACTATTTCTTTGAAGTTTTTTTTTTATACATTTGAATAATTGTAGCTACTTTTTAAGTGAATATCTGCAATCAACTTGTGCAATATGTTAGGAGATAAAGAAGATTGCGTTCTTTCATTTCGGGGGGGGGGGTCAAGTGCAAGTGCTGGTTAAGTGTTGGGGGGGGGGGATTATTTAAGATACTGTTTGAAGAGGTCGGGTTTCAGATGTTTTCAGAAGATGGGCAGGGACTCTGCTGTCCTAGCTTCAGGGGGAAGCTGGTTCCACCATTGGGGTGCCAGGACAGAGAGGAGCTTGGACTGGGCTGAGAGGGCCAAGAGACCTGAGGTGATAGAACGCTTGGGTTGATGTGTAGGGTTTGAGCATAGCCTGAAGGTAGGGAGGTGCAGTTCCTCTTGCTGTTCCGTAGGTAAGCACCATGGTCTTGTAGTGGATGCGAGCTTCAACTGGAAGCCAATGGAGTGTGCGGAGGAGCGGAGTGACATGAGAGAACTTGGGAAGGTTGAAAACCAGGCGGGCTGCTGCATTCTGGATAAGTTACAGGGGTTTGATGGCACAAGCGGGGAGCCCAGCCAACAGCGAGTTGCAGTAATCCAGACGGGAGAGGACAAGTGCCTGGATTAGGACCCGCGCTGCTTCCTGTGTGAGGTAGGGTCGTACTCTATGGATGTTGTAGAGCATGAACCTGCAGGAACGAGTCACTGCTTTGATGTTTGCAGAGAACGATAGGGTGATGTCCAGGGTCACGCCAAGGTTCTTTGCACTCTGGGAGGGTGACACTGTGGAGTTGTTGACCGTGATGGAGAGGTCTTTGAGCAGGCAGACCTTCTCCAGGAGGACAGTTCCGTCTTGTCGAGGTTGAGCTTGAGGTGGTGGGCCAACATCCAAGTTGAGATATCTGCCAGGCACGCAGAGATGCGTGTCACCACCTGGGTGTCAGAAGGGGGGGGGGGGGGGGGGGGGGGAGAAAAGTAGTTGAGTGTCATCCGCATAGCAATGATAGGAGAGACCATGTGAGGATATGACAGAGCCGAGTGACTTGGTGTATAGAGTGAAGAGGAGAGGGCCTAGAACCGAGCCCTGTGGGACACCAGTAGTGAGAGTACATGGTGCAGACACAGATCCTCTCCACATCACCTGGTAGGAGCGGCCTGCCAGGTAGAATGCAATCCAAGAGTGTGCATAGCCTGAGACACCCAGCCCTGAGAGGAGGATCTGATGGTTAAGGAATACCTGGAATAGTATAACAGTAATCCTTCTAACCCCCCCCGTCAGATGAGTCGAGTGTTGGTTTCTTGAGGAAGGGAGCAACTTGGGCCATTTTGAAGTCAGAGCGGATGCAGCCAGTGGTCAGGGATTAGTTGATGAGGGAAGTGAGGAAAGGGAGGTCTCCAGAGATGCTCTGGAGAAGGGAGGAGGGGATGGGGTCGAGCAGGCAGGTTGTCGGGTGGCCAGACCTCACTAGTCGCAGGATGTCATCTGGAGAGAGAGGGGAGAAAGAGGTCAAGGCGTAGGGTAGTTCTGTGTGAGTGAGACCAGTGGACTCAATAGGCTGAGTGAATGAGTAGAGGATGTCATCAACCTTTTTTTAAAAGTGGTTGACAAAGTCGTCCGCAGAGAGGGAGGAGGGAGGGGGTGGAGGATTAAGGCGGGAGGAGAAGGTGGAAAAGAGTTTCCTATGGTTAGAGGCAGAAGCTTGACATTTAGATTGGTTGAAAGTGGCTTTTGCAGCGGATACAGAGAAAGAGAAGGTAGAGAGGAGGGAGTGAAAGGATGATAGATCTTCCAGAAGTTGAGTTTTCCTCAATTTTCAGCTGCCCGCAGCCCTGTTCTGTACACTCGCAATGAGTCACTCAGCCACGGAGCAGGAGGGGAGAGCCGAGCCGGCTGGGAGGAAAGGGGACAGTACGAGTCATTGGAAGTGGAAAGGAAGGAGAGTAGGGTCAAAGAGGCAGAATCAGGAGACAGAAGGGAGAAGGATTTAGCAGAATGGGGAGATGATAGGATAGAAGAGGAAGAGAGTAGTGGGAGAGAGAGAGAGCGAAGTTTGCGACAGCACATTACCATCTGGGTAGGGGCTGAGTGGTTAGGGTTGGAGGAAAGGGAGACAGAAAAGGACACAAAGTAGCGATCAGAGACCTGGAGGGGGGTTGCAGTGAGATTAGCAGGCGAGCAGCCTCTAGTAAAGATTAGGTCAAGAGTATTGTCTGCCTTGTGAAAGGGTGAGGTCAAAAGAGGCAAGGAGGGGAAAGAGAGAGTTGGAAAGAAATGAATCGATGGCAGACGTTGGGAGGTTGAAGTCGCCAAGCTGGTAGAGCACGGCGCTTGTAACGCCAAGGTAGTGGGTTCGATCCCCGGGACCACCCATACACAAAAAAATAAATAATTATGCACGCATGACTGTAAGTCGCTTTGGATAAAAGCGTCTGCTAAATGGCATATTATTATTATTATTATTATTATTATTAAGTACGAAGAGCGGTGAGCCATCGTCAGGAAATGAGTTTATCAAGGTGTCAAGCTCATTGACGAACTCTCCAAGGGCACCTGGTGGGCGATAGATGACAACAATGTTAAGCTTGAGTGGACAAGTGACAGTGACAGCATGGAATTCAAATGAGGAGATGGACAGGTGAGAGAGGGAGAAAAGAGAAAATCTCCACTTAGGAGAAATGAGTAGACCTGTGCCACCACTGCGACGACCAGATGCTCTCGAACTATGAGAGAAAATATAGTCAGACGAAGAAAGAGCAGCTGGAGTAGCAGTGTTCTCTGTGGTGATCCATGTCTCTGTCAGGGACAAAAAGTCAAGGGACTGAAGGGCAGCATGGGCTGAGATGAACTCAGCGTTCTTGACCGCAGATCGGCAGTTCCATACGCTGCCAGAGACCCGGAATCCCACATGGATTGTGCGCACAGGGTACACTAAATTAGAAGGGTTGCAGCCAAGGGGTGGGGAGCATCTGTAATGCCTACAGGGAGAGGTGTGAACAGGTATAGAAAACACACACAAAATATCAAAATGAGATAATCTGTAAATAACTAGGTGAAGCCCTCCTCTCTTTACTTCCTCGAATAACTCTGCACAACAACTCAGCAGAACCGTCTTTGTTTCGGCGACGGTCTTAGTTTTGCGACAAAACCGCCACTGACACGACCACCACTTACAGCTGCCACTGACAAAAAAGCGGCTGCCGCTGAGAAAAGTACTCGTTAAATTTTGAAAGATTAGCAATACAGGAAAAGTATCTAATTTACGCACTTATCAAGAGAACATCCCTGGTCATCCCTACTGCCTCTGATCTGGCAGACTCACTAAACACAAACGCTTAATTTGTAAATGATGTCTGGGTGTTGAAGTGTGCCCCTGGCTAGCCGTAAATTTAAAAACAAGAAAATCATGCTGTCTGGTTCGCTTAATATAAGGAATTTGAAATGATTTATACTTTTACTTTTGATACGTAAGTATATTTTAGCAATTACATTTTTTCTTTTTACACTTAAGTATATTTAAAACCAAATACATTTAGACTTTTCTCAAGTAGTATTGTACTGGGTGACTTTCACTTTTACATTTTAGTCATTTAGCAGACGCTCTTATCCAGAGCGACTTACAATTAGTGAGTGCATACATTTTCATACTGGTCCCCCGTGGGAATCGAACCCACAACCCTGGCATTGCAAGCGCCATGCTCTACCAACTGAGCTACACGGGACTTGAGTCATTTTTGTTTAAGGTATCTTTACTTTTACTCAAGTAGGACAATTGGGTACTTTTTCCACCACTGCTTATAACTATTAAGTTAACTGTCTAAAAGGTGCTAAATGCTCTACAGTTGTGCATTTGCCCTGCCTAAATGACTACCGACCCGTAGCACTCACGTCTGTAGCTATGAAGTGCTTTGAAAGGCTGGTCATGGCTCACATCAACACCTTTATCCCAGAAACCCTAGACCCACTCCAATTTGCATATCGCCCCAACAGATCCACAGATGATGCAATCCCTATTGTACTCCACACTGCCCTTTCCCACCTGGACAAAAGGAACTCCTATGTGAGAATGCTATTCAAGGACTACAGCTCAGCGTTCAACACCATAGTGCCCTCAACGCTCATCACTAAGCTAAGGACCCTGGGACTAAACACCTCCCTCTGCAACTGGATCCTGGACTTCCTGACGGGGCGCACCCAGGTGGTAAGGGTAGGTAACAACACATCCGCCACACTGATCCTCAACACGGGGGCCCCTCAGGGGTGCGTGCTCAGTCCCATCCTGTACTCCCTGTTCACTCATGACTGCATGGCCAGGCATGACTCCAACAACATCATTAAGTTTTCCGATGACAACAGTGGTAGGCCTGATCACCGACAACGACGAGACAGCCTATAGGGAGGAGGTCAGAGACCTGTCCGTGTGGTGCCAGGACAACAACCTCTCCCTCAACGTGATCAAGACAAAGGAGATGATTGTGGACTACAGGAAAAAGAAGAGGACCGAGCACGCCCCCATTCTCATCGACAGGGCTGTAGTGGAGCAGGTTGAGAGCTTCAAGTTCCTTGGTGTCCACATCACCAACAAACTAACATGGTCCAAGCACACCAAGACAGTCGTGAAGAGGCCACAACAAAAACCTATTCCCCCTAAGGAGACTGAAAAGATTTGGCATGGGTCCTCAGATCCTCAAAAGGTTCTACAGCTGCACCATCGAGAGCATCCTGACTGGTTGCATCACTGCCTGGTATGCCAACTGCTCGGCCTCCGACCGCAAGGCACTACAGAGGGTAGCACGTACGGCCCAGTACATCACTGGGGCCAAGCTTCCTGCCATCCAGGACCTCTATACCAGGCGGTGTCAGAGGAAGGCCCTAACAATTGTCAAAGACTCCAGCCACCCTAGTCATAGACTGTTCTCTCTTCTACCGCATGGCAAGCGGTACCGGAGCGCCAAGTCTAGGTCCAAGAGGCTTCTAAACAGCTTCTACCCCCAAGCCATAAGACTCCTGAACATCTAATCAAACGGCTACCCAGACTATTTGCATTGGTTTGCTAATTTAGTAGCTAGTTAGCTATCTAGCTAAGTGGTTAGCTTCTTCCAAAACCAAGCTTCGCTTCGGGTAACAGCAGAGAATCCCGTCCTGGATGAAAAATGTATGCACTCACTAACTGTAAGTCGCTCTGGATAAGAGCGTCTGCTAAATGAATCAAATGTAAAAAAAATGGATCAAGAGCCTTGCTGTCTAATATTTGTTTTGTGTGTGCAGCAAACTGTGAGTAGCATTTTTTTGTTACTTGTATAACTTTATGAGCTGGGATGTCTGTCCTGAAAATAGTTTAGGTCAGAGACTGTATAAAATGTTTGCAAAGCGCTCGTTAGCATTTAGTTAGCATTCTCTATAGGATTGTCCATGTACTTGTTAGCATTGCTAACATTCAAATTTAAAAGGCTCAGTGGGTTTTGAAAATAGCGCCCTTTGTGTTCAGTTATTACCGGTATGGCACAAGGTCGGTATGACAATCTGGATACCGCCCAAGCCTAGAGGGAGTAGCTGAATGACAAAGGCAATTTCTACCTGCAGCACATCACCGCAGTGGGCCAAACAAAGACACACCTATGGAGTTTGAGAAGGCAGTTTACAAGGATCAGAGGCCAATCCAGAGAGGTGAAATATCATGTTTGGGTCATGGTCAGGGTTGGAAACAGAGGGGGTCAAATTGGGGTTAGTGGCCCCATAGAGAGAATAATCATTCTGGATGGATTGAGACGAATACCAAGTCTGTGTCTGGGGCAAGACACAGGGTGAGAAAGGAACAGCCTGTCTACAGATCTGTGTGTGTGGTAAGCAGGGAGGTGAATATTAATATATTAATACAGGGAGCTGTGGAAGTACGCCTACAAAGTTGTGCATCACCAAAATGTAAATTAGGCTTCTTCTCTCACCTTCCTCAGCTCGACTGTCACGTCATTTCGATGTCTTCTCATAGTCTGGAACACAAACACACAGGGAGCAATATGAAACAGAGACAATAATTCATTGATAACACATTTTAACAACATAACATCTCCCTCTCTGGACTACTTAATGGCACAAATTGCTTTTGGAAGCAACATGAAAATATACTAGAAAGTAATATAGGCCCAGGTCAGAACATAGGAATTGAGGGATCTAATATGTAAGCTATAGGCTAAAAGCATAAGTTACACACACCACTCGATATCGTAATGGTTCAGGTTAATCAATGTGTGTTTGTGTAATGGTAATGTGTTCTTAGTCCACTCATGACTGTGAGCTGGTCTCAGATCTTGTGACTGTGCGCTGCGGTTCATATTGCCATACTAAATAGCCCCTTACGTCACGTGGGCCAGTCACATCATCCCAGCCTTGGTCTGATCTTGCCCCTGTCTGGGGAGGCTGAAGAGCTGAGAACCAGAGGGAGACCCCCTCTCCTCTCTCTAACAACCAAACAGTGACCCAGCCAGAGCACCTGTCTCTCTCAGAGCTGCACCAGTCACTCCTCAGACCCCTACGCCTAGATCAGCATAGGGCAGGTGTGGGTCAGTCTTTTCTTCTAGCCTAGCACTAACACACCTGATTTATCGAACTGATTCAGATTGAAGACCATGATTAGCAGATACAGGCCTTCAGAAAGTTCACACCCCTTGACTTTTTCACACCCCTTGACTTTACAGCCTGAACGTAGATTTAAAAAAAACAAATTATCTTAAAATGAAAAGCTGAAATGTCTTGAATAAGTATTCAACCCCTTGGTTATGGCAAGCCTAAATAAGTTCAGTAGTAAAAATTTGCTAAACAAATGACATAATAAGTTGCATGGACTCACTGTGTACAATAATAGTGTTCAACATTATTATTTTCTTTTTTATGACTACCTCATCTCTGTACCCCACACATACAATTATCTGTAAGGTCCCTCAGCCGAGCAGTGCATTTCAACACAGATTCAACCACAATGACCAGGGAGGTTTTCCAATGCCTCGCAAAGGTCACCTATCGGTAGATGGGAAAAATAATTAAGCAGACATTAAATATCAATTTCAGCATGGTGAAGTTATGAATTACACTTTGGATGGTCTATCAATACACCCAGTCACTACAAAGATACAGGTGTCCTTATAACTCAGTTACCGGAGAGGAAGGAAACCGCTCAGAGATTTCACCATGAGGCCAATGGTGACTTTAAAACAGTTAGAGTTTAATGGCTGTGATAGGAGAAAACTGAGGATGGATCAACAACATTGTACAGTGCATTCGGAAAGTATTCAGACCCCTTGAATTTTTCCACATTTTGTTACTTTACAGACTTACTGTGGAATGCAGTGTTTGGTTTTCGCCAGGCATAATGGGCCCCATCTCATCCAATAAGTTGACTCAAGTTTGCCAAAAAGCACCTGAATGATCATCAAGACTCTTGGAAGAACGTTCTATGGACAGATGATTCAAAAATATAACTTTTTGGACGACATGGTTCCAGTAATGCCTGGCGAAAACCAAACTCTGCATTCCACAGTAAGAACATCATACCAAAGGTCAAGCATGGTGGTGGTGGTGTGATGTTTTGGGATGCTTTGCTGCCTCAGGACCTGGACGACTTGCCTTAATAGAAGGAACGATGAATTCTGCTCTGTATCAGAGAATTCTACAGGAGAATGTCAGACCATCTGTCTGTGAGCTGAAGCTGAAGCGCAGCTGGGTCATGCAGCAAGACAATGATCCAACACACACAATCAAGTCTACATGAAAATTGCTAAAAAGCAACAAATTGGAAGTTTTGGAATGGCCTAGTCAAAGTCCAGACCTAATCCTAATTGAGATGTTGTGGCAGGACTTGAAACGAGCAGTTCATGCTTGAAAACCCACATCATTGAGTTAAAGCAGTTCTGCATGGAAGAGTGGGCCAAAATTCCTCCACAGCGACGTGAGAGACTGATCAACAACTACAGGAAGCATTTGGTTGGAGTCATTGCAGCTAAAGGTGGCACAACCAGTTATTGAGTGTAAGGGGGCAATTACTTTTTCACACAGGGGAATTGGGTGTTGCATAACTTTTTTTATGAAATAAATATGTAATTGTTGTGTTATTTGTTCATTTATGTTCCCTTTATCTAATATTAGGTTTTGGTTGAAGATCTGATAACATTCAGTATCACAAATATGCAAAAGTAGAGAATATTAGAAAGGGATCAAGCGCCTTGCTCATAGCACTGTAAGTATTCAGACCCTTTGCTATGAGACTCGAAATCGAACTCAGGTGCATCCTGTTTCCATTGATCATCATTGAGATGTTTCTACAACTTGGAATCCACCTGTGGTAAATTAAAAAGATTGGACATGATTTGGAAAGGCACACACCTGTCTATATAAGGTCCCACAGTTGACAGTGCACGTCAGAGCAAAAACCAAGCCATGAGGTCGAAGGAATTGATCGTAGAGCTCCGAGACAGGATCGGGTCGAGGCACAGATCTGGGGAAGGGTACCAAGAAATGTCTGCAGCATTGAAGGTCCCCAAGAACACAGCCTCCATCACTCTTAAATGGAAGAAGTTTGGAACCACCAATACTTTTCCTTGAGCTGGCCGCCCAGCCAAACTGTGCAATCGGGGGAGAAGGGCCTTGGTCAGGGAGGTGACCAAGAACCCAATGATCACTGACAGAGCTCCAGAGTTCCTCTGTGGAGATGGGAGAACCTTCCAGAAGGACAACCATCTCTGCAGCACTCCGCCAATCAGGCCTTTACGGTAGAGTGACCAGACAGACGCCACTCCTCAGTAAAAGGCACATGACAGCCTGCTTGGAGTTTGCCAAAAGGCACCTAAATGACTCTCAAACCATGAGAAGTACAGAGAGATCCTTGATGAAAACCTGCTCCAGAGCGCTCAGGACCTCAAACTGCGGCGAAGGTTCACCTTCCAACAAGACAACGACCCTAAGCACACACCCAAGACAACGCAGGAGTGGCTCCGGGACAAGTCTCTGAATGCCCTTGAGTGGCCCAGCCAGAGCCCGGACTTGAGCCCGTTCTAACAACTCTGGAGAGACCTGAAAATAACTGTGCAGCAACACTCCCATCCAACCCGACAAAGCTTGTGAGGATCTGCAGAGAAGAATGGGAGGAACTCCCCAAATACAGGTGTGCCAAGCTTGTAACATTTCTAAAAACCTGTTTTTGCTTGGGGTATTGTGTGTAGATTGATGAGGGGGAAAAAATATTTAATCCATTTTAGAATTAGTCCGGACTCTGGCTGGCTGTAACCTAAAAAATTTTGGAAAAAGTCAAGGGGTCTGAATACTTTCACAATACTAACCTAAATGGCAGTGAAAAAGAAGCCTGTACAGAATCAAAATATTCCAAAACATGCATCCTGTTTGCAACAAGGCACTAAAGTAAAACTGCAGAAAATGTGGCAAAGATATTCACTTTATGTCCTGAATACAAAGCGTTATGTTTGGGGCAAATCCAACACAACAAGTAACTGAATACCACGCTTCATATTTTCAAGCATGGTGGTGGCTGCATCATGTTATGGGTAGGCTTGTCGTCGGCAAGGACTAGGGAGTTTAGAATGAAAAGAAACGGAATAGAGCTAAGCACAGGCAAAATCCTAGAGGAAAACCTGGTTCAGTCTGCTTTCCAACAGACACTGGGAGACAAATTCACCTTTCAGCAAGTCAATAACCTAAAACACAAAGCCAAATATACACTGGAGTTGCTTACCAGGACGACATTGAATGTTCCTGAGTGGCCTAGTTACAGTTTTGACTTAAAAACCGGCTTGAAAATCTATGGCAAGACTTGAAAATAGCTGTCGAACAATGATCAACTTGACAAAGCTTGAACAATTTTAAAAGAGTAATGTGCAAATATTGTACAATCCAGGTGTGCAAAGCTCTTAGAGACTTGCCTAGAAAGACACACAGCTGTAAACGCTGCCAAAAGTGATTCTAACACGTACTGAATCAGGGGTGTGAATACTTATGTAAATGAGATATTTTGGTATTTCATTTTCAATAAATGTGCAAAAATGTATACAAAAATGTTTTCACTTTGTCGTTATGGGGTATTGTGTGTAGATGGGTGAGAAAATATATTTATTCCCTTTTGAATTCAGGCTGTAACAACAAAATGTGGAATAAATCAATGGGTATGAATACTTTCTGAAGGCACTGTACATATATTAGGCTGTAGCCTAAATATAGCTTAACCAGTGAGCAGTGTCCTGAGCCAAGAGTGAGTGTTACTCCTGGATACAGTGTTCTGGGGTAAACATTAAGGCCCAGAACACTGACTGAGCAAGTTAAAACCGTTAGAAAGTAATGCTCATGGCTCAAACATAAGCTGGGCTGCATCTCACATGATGTCCCATCAGGCTGTTTAACGAGAGACCGTTGAACTATGAGGAATTGTTCAAAGTTGTCCCTTCCACTGGTGCAGGTTCAGATCATCCTAGTGGTTAAGTTCAGGATTAGGTAACCTCATCCCAGATCTGTGGTTATAAGCAACTTCAACCTAGAGCGAACCCCAATGATTGATTTGCCCAGTGGTCACCATACCGACCTACTATAGAGTGGGTGCCAGACTGTTTCTGTATTCAACAAAGCTACATTGTTGCCTTGCCAAGACAACGGCACTTTATGTGTTATTGACTGTACGTTTTGTTTATTCCATATGTAACTCTGTGTTGTTGTTTTTATCGCACTGCTTTGCTTTATCTTGGCCAGGTCGCAGTTGTAAATGGGAACTTGTTCTCAACTGGCTTAACTGGTTAAATAAAGGTGAAATAAAATAAATAAAAATAAAAAAACTTTGGCCAGAGCAGAAACAGCACCCAGACTACCATTCATATAGTGATAGCTACAGTATTCATACTTAGTAGCTTATTTGTAAAACCTAGCACAAACACTCAAGTAAATTCTGAAGGGGGAAGGATGATGCATTTCTAAAAACCATTGCAGGAACACATAACTCCCTGGTCCCAGATCAGTGCTGCTTAGGGGCTTCTTCTACCTCCTGGCCCCTCCATTGGGCCACAGATCGGGTTGTACCTCCAGGGAGAACCCAAGCCAGACCTCCAGGATGCCCGAAATAGCCCTAGTGGCGCACGTGGCCATGTCCGACATAGTAGCCATGTGTTTGTCACGTTGTCTCTCAGTTTCAAAACAACAACCTATGAGACTGGTCCACTTCCCATGGTTTTAGATGGCTCCCAAAGACAATAATCTCTAATTCAACTATTACTCCGAAAACCCATTCCTTCATACAGTGGGGGTATCCCAAAGATGACTAGTTGTACAACTCTGTAAAGACAAATGTGTGTGTGGGTTATTGTCAAAGATGGCACAGCTAACCACTATGAATACATGTGAGGTCAGCATGCCATAGTTTTTAATAATACCACCAGCACCCGCTGAAAACATTGACAGCTGTCATGACGATGACTACTCAGCCACAAGATACTGAGCGATGCAGATAGCAAGCTATTGATGGTGGAAGCAGCAAGTAAACGGATTCAGGCAATTAACAACATCTTCACCTAGCTAGCCAGCTACATAAGAATATTTTCTGCACAGGCCGTTGTTCAAATGCCTATTTTAGCTGGCTAGCTTGCTAGTTCACAGTTAGCTAGCTCATTATGGCCAGATGATTCCGACCTTGCCTGACAATACCGCAGTCAGATGAATGCCATACATTTGTTTGGAAAATTTCACCTCACAAGCTTTAGAAGCCAGAATGTTGAATTCAATTATATTTTAAAGTACTGTACCAGTTGACTGTGCTGTTGGTCCTTTTGTTTACACTGAGCTGCACTGTGGTCGGAATGTTCATCAAGGTTATATTAAGACACCGCGGAGCAGGTGCGAGATATAAAATGTACTTCAATGCAGGGATGGGATATACCAGAATACATTTTACCTTTACCCAAACTGATTTATCGAGAAGATTGAAATACTGCTTGTTTTTCCGAAAAACTGCAATTTTCATCCTCATGATAGCTAGCAGTAGCCACAGCAGTCATTATGGAATGGCACATGGCATTGAACAACAAAGGAGCTGATTGGCTGAATATGCCATTCCAAAATGGCTGCTGTGGCTACAATTAGGATGAAAACGTGCAGTATTTCAATCTTCTCCATGTATCATTTTGGATAAAGGTAAAATGTGGAGTACAGTGGTATATCGCATCCCTGCATTGAGGTACGTTTTCCGACCCATATCTGGCACCTGCTAGGCAGTGTGTCCATGATGACGTTCAGACCCCAGTGTAGGTCAATGTAAACAAGCTAACTGTAGGGTCGGAATCATGTTTAATTATGGTTGGATATGAGTGTTAGCTAAAACGACAAGTTATCAAGAGGGTTCAATTAGCTAATAGATAGCTAGTAATAGCATGCATTAGCCAAACCAGCTAAATTCGCTAGTTACCGACATATACTCTACCTACTCCGGATTCTGCTAGTTGGGCTGTCAATTCTAACCTTAGTCTGCTTTCAAAACCGGTGGTAGCTGCTAACAATATCTTAGTTAAGTAATCAGCTAACCTTAGTTACCTAGGCTAGAGCTTTTCGTTGTAGGCGAAACCGATTGACATTTCAAACTATTTGATGGGGAATAGGCCAAGGGCCGTAAACCACGCCCGTTCGTTATGATGATGGCGAAGATGTGGTGGAGGATATTCCGAATAAGCTCAGACAGCACACAGCAGGCTGGCGGCTAATAGCTAGCTAACTTAGTTGACTAGCCAGGCTTCATCAAAATATTGTCAGACAAGGCGGGGGAAGAGAGCCGGTGTCTTAAAATAAAATCCTACACGGATCATTGTCTAAACCACCCTATCCAAATGCACTCCTACCTCGACATCGCGTCCCTTGTTTTTGAAGCTCTTGATACGGTGGTTATCCAAGCCGGCGTTTTCTGCCATGGCTGTTTGCTGGGTTGAGAGTACTCCGGCGTTCGTGATCTCCAGCGAAAGACAGAGCGCCTATGCTGCGGAGTACAGAGAGGGGGCGGCTACGGTAACAGAACGCAGAGAGTTAGGAGGGAGGAGCTCCGAGACGGGTTGTCCTATTTTTGATGGGATCCCTGACCTCGCACAGAGACAGATGCTACGTTCTCATTCTAGTCGGAAGTAGGAAACTCGGAAATGTCCGACATGCTAACTGATTGTATTTATACACGTGCCGCGTTCAGCGAAATAGCAAGTCGGAAATGTTCGAGTTTCCTAGTTCCGACTAGTATTTGAACGCGGCAAGAGCATCATCAACCTCGTCGCCATACTTCTTCTTCTTCCGTGCAGTACTGTGTGGTAAATCACGTTACATTTTGTGATACCAAAAAAAATGTAAAGGGGGAAAATTTCAACAAACGCACCACCAACTAACCCTACACTTACAGTGCATTCGGAAAGTATTCAGACCCCTTTACTTCTTCCACATTTTGTTAGGTTACAGCCTAATTCTTATTCTAAAATTAATTAAATCGGTTTTTCCCCTCATCAATCTACACACAATACCACATAATGACAAAGCAAAAACGGGTTTTTAGAATTTTTTGCAAATGTATTGCAAATAAAAAACGTAAATATCACATTTACATAAGTATTCAGACCCTTTACTCCGTACTTTGTTGAAGCACCTCGAGTCTTGGATGACACTACAAGCTTGGCACACCTGTATTTGGGGAGTTTCTCCCATTCTTCTCTGCAGATCCTCTCAAGCTCTGTCAGGTTGGATGGGGAGCTCCGCTGCACAGCTATTTTGAGGTCTCTCCAGAGATGTTCGATCGGGTTCAAGTCAGGGCTCCGGCTGGGCCACTCAAGGACATTCAGAGACTTGTCCCAAAGCCACCCCTGCGTTGTCTTGGCTATGTGCTTAGGGTTCTTCTCCTGTTGGAAGGTGAACCTTTGCCCCAGTCTAAGGTCCTGAGCGCTCTGGAGCAGGTTTTCATCAAGGATCTCTCCGTTCATCTTTCCCCCGATCCTGACTTGTCTCCCAGTCCCTGCAGCTGAAAAACATCTCCACAGCATGATACTGCCACCACCATGCTTCACTGTAGGGATGGTGCCAGGTTTCCTGCAGACGTGACGCTTGGCATTCAGGCCAAAGAGTTAAATATTGGTTTAATCAGATCCGAGAATCTTGTTTCTCATGGTCTGAGAGTCTTTATGTGCTTTTTGGCAAACTTCAAGCGGGCTGTCATGTGCCTTTTACTGAGGAGTGGCTTCCGTCTGGCCACTCTACCATAAAGGCCTGATTGTAGGAGTGCTGCAGAGATGGTTGTCCTTCTGGAAGGTTCTCCCATCTCCACAGAGGAACCCTGGAGCTCTGTCAGAGTGACAATCGGCTTCTTGGTCACCTCCCTAACCAAGGCCCTTCTCCCCCGATTGCTCAGTTTGGCCGGGCGGCCAGCTCTAGGAAGAGTCTTGGTAGTTCCAAACTTCTTCTATTTAAGAATGATGGAGGCCTCTGTGTTCTTTGGGACCTTCAATGCTGCATAATGTTGTTGGTACCCTTCCCCAGATCTGTGCCTCGACACAATCCTGTCTTGGATTCCTTCGATTCCATGGCTTGGTCTTTGCTCTGACAAGCACTGTCAACTGTGGGACCTTATATAGAAAGGTGTGTGCCTTTCCAAATCATGTCCAATCAATTTAATTTACCACAGGTTGTAGAAACATCTCAAGGATGATCAATGGAAACAGGATGCACCTGAGCTCAATTTAGAGTCTCATAGCAATGGGTCTGAATACTTATGTAAATAAGGTATTTCTAGTTTTATATTTTTATACATTAGAAACATTTTCTAAAAACCTGTTTTTCGCTTTGTCATTATGAGGTATTGTGTGTAGATTGATGAGGATATTTTTTTATTTAATCCATTTTAGAATAAGGCTGTATCGTAACAAAATGTGGAAAAAGTCAAGGGGACTGAATACTTTCCGAATGCACTGTATATACCACTATTTCATAAACATTTAAATCACCACCCCATTCCATTACTTTGACCCTATACAGGCCGATGGCCTGGGAGGATGGGACTCTTTCGTTCAACACACCTTGTAACTCTTCTGCAGTAAAACCGTGTACACCCAAGTACTTCTCTGCAGCTGCCACCACAACATCTATTTTCTGTGATTTATGTTCCACTTATGTGGTACAGTTGACAACCATGGCAATTAATGCTAAGAAGCCAACCTTACTGAAGCACAAATTCGTATCACTCTGTATTGGCCTAGGCCTTCTACTCAACCTTGAACCATCATCCTCTACTCTCTTCACTGCCTCAGCATACGACACCTGTTCTATTCTGACCCTGGCAACCTCAACCTGTCTCTCTCGCACCAGGCACTTCTGATCCCCAGCAACATGGGCACCCCCACAATTGACACACACAGTTTTTCTACCAATACGACACATTCCTTTGTCCCATGCCCTCGTGCATACTTCTCACATCTCGGAATCTCCCTCCAACACACTGCTGCAACATGGCCATAAGCTTGGGGCATCTGAAACACCTTAGTGGGTTCGGCACAAAAGCTCTCACTGGATGTCGTCACCATGCACCATATCAGTCACATCTTAACATAATTAAAACAGTTAGCTTGCTACTAGTAGATGTCATGTCACTTCAAGTTTATGTCAATTCAAATTCCTTTAAATAATAATAACGTTATTCATTTAACCGTTTAGAACCCATAGCAGCCGTCGACGGCCTTTCTTTAAATTACTATAGCGGCCACGAATGGCCTTGTTTTTCTAACAATAACATCTCGCAAAATTAACTTGCTAACAACCTGTTGTCGTATTCGTGTGGCTGTTGTCATCAACCAGAAACCGGAAACAGGGTATGCTTTCATTTGACTTTTCAATGTTTTTTTTACTTCATTACTCAAAATGACGGCTCCGAAGCAGACACGACATTTCACTGTGATAGAGGCTGTATCTATGTTGGTTGGTGATACGGATTCGGATACGTCCTTGCACTTTGAAAAGCGATGATGTCGAGGTAAGTGAAATAAGTAAACAGCAGATATTTGTTTGGTGTTGTCGATGTTTGATGCTGTGAAACTTGGAGAATAGCGCTCAGATTAGCAAATCATGTCATGATAACTTGGTTGGTACAGGCGAACACATCAATGATGGATCTCGAAATATTGCTCTCTGTCTCATGGAAAGAGTTGCAGTGTTTAGCTGTATATAGTCAGCTAACTAGTTGGTTGTTTTGTCTTGTTTCTACCAATGTAATTCATATAGAAATGGCCCAAGCTGCTTGCTATAGCTAGCTAGCTAACTAGTTAGTCTGTCAGGCAAGAAAAGTTGTGTGTAATGGTAAATTAGGGCTGCGCTCACGTAATGTCAACCTCAGCTGTCACTTTCACTAGCTAGCCATACAGACAACAAGCTAACTAGCCACCGAAATGAAGGCTAGAGTAATTTGTTTTTTAATCTGTTGGGTTTAGGAGGCGTGTAACTGTATCACACTATTTATTATGGAAACCCCTTACTAGGAAGAGAGTATGTTTATGGTTGAGGGAAAAAAAGAGGAAGGTACTCTGTTCCTCTAGGTCAGTGAAAGTGAGGGAAGTGATGTGGAGAGTCAGGGCTCAGCAGCAAAAGGCAGGGAGGAAGAGGAGTTAGAGATGATTGGAGGGATAGTGATGTGGAGGGAGGAGTGGAACGAGAGGAGAGTGGAGGGAGAGAGGAAGAGGAGGGAGAGGAGGAGGAAGAGGGAGAGTACGAAGCAGAGGGAGCTTACGTTTCCATGGAGTGTGTCTGCCCCAAGTCCCACCATTGTACCACACAGCCTGGGCCTAACTAAAGTGAAAGTGCAGGGGTTTTGGGGTTGTTTTTAAAAGTGCTATGAATTTATATCTGTTCCACAGCTTTTAATGGATTACAACAAGAAAATGGGCGGGGTTGACCATCTTGACCAACTGAGGAGCTATTACAATGTTGGACGCACAGGCAGAAAATGGTGGAAGTATGTGTTTTGGGGGATGCTCAACATTGCCATAAATGCGTACATTGTGTGGTGGACCCTACAAAGGCCCCTTCCCAGAAACCGCAGGCGCTGGTCCCTGAAGGCATTCAAAATGCAGCTTGTGCATTCACTTTGTGATATGGTTACAGTGGCAGGAAGAGGGGAGCCAAGACTGTGGCACCAGGGCATGTGGACCGATTTGTAACTCATTTGAAAGCAAGTGAAGTTTGAAGGGTGCAAGAGAGGGTGTGTGGTGTGCATCCGGAGTGGACGCAGGGCAAAGAGTGGGAGATGTGTAGAAACCACCTTTGGGTGCTCTATGTGTTCTGTGCCACTTTGCAGGATGGGGCAGTGCTTCCAGAAGTTCCATTACATGTTGTAGGCTAAAGTGACAGTGTGAAATATGAATTTGTCCTACAAATCTTTTATTGTCTCTGAACAATTTTGAAAATCTGCATACACCTTACAGCCACTCATGTACCTTGGCCTAACCAATTAAGTTTTTCCCATCAGGATTTTGAACCATTCACTACATAGTGATGTTGTTTATGACAGAGCTAGTGCACTAAGAGAGAGGACTGTGAAGTGTTTGTGTGCTTACTATTCACATCAAATTGTCAAAAAGGGGAAATTATACAAAATATTTGTCTAGTCTACTATATGTAGCTGCAACCTGGACTCAGGGGTAGATGGGACATTCCAATTAGTATGATATGTTACGTTTCGTATGGTATGTGTTAATTTGTGGATGTCCATCATACATTTCGTATATGTTACGAATTACAATTCGTATGATACGAATTGCAATTCGTACAATAGTTACACATTTACTAAACATATATATTACGAATTCCAATTTGTGGCTAATGTTAGCTAAGCTAGGGGTTAGGGTTAAGGTTATGAGTTAGGTTAAAGGGTTTCGGTTAGGGGAAGGGTTAGCTAACATGCTAAGTAGTGATATAGTAGCTAGAAAGTAGTAAGTTGTTGCTAATTAGCTAAAGTTGTCCATGATGAGATTCGAACGCGCAACCTTTGGGTTGCTAGACATTTGCGGTATATTAAATAAAGTTGTTCCAAAAGATTAAATGCTTCCAGAGACAAGTTTCTTGATTGTATTCAACAATAAGTATTCAGATTTGGTTTATTATTTAACATACATCTCATTAGTGCAAACAAAAACAAGCGTTTAACATTTAAGACAGTTTTCACGCTTCAAAGGAGGATATGCATTCATCTGATCGTTAAAATACAGCAGGGTCGGAAAATGTCACATCCCCGAATACAGCCAATGAGCAGAGCTTCGCCAGTTTGCTGACATTTGGAATACCAATCAGAGCCGTGACAAATTACTTTTAAAGACAGATCATAATCAAAATAATAAATCAAAATACAAATAATTAAATCTAGAATTAGAAGTAAATTATCAGGGAAACAAAACATTGAACATTAGTGTCAGCTATAAACAAATAAATATCAATATGGCATTGAGAGTTCATTGAAAGATTGCCTTCCATAATCAAACCACACACACATACAGTGAGGGAAAAAATATTTGATCCCCTGCTGATTTTGTACGTTTGCCCACTGACAAAGACATGATCAGTCTATAATTTTAATGGTAGGTTTATTTGAACAGTGAGAGACAGAATAACAACAAAAAAATCCAGAAAAACGCATATCAAAAATGTTATAAATTGATTTGCATTTTAATGAGGGAAATAAGTATTTGACCCCTCTGCAAAACATGACTTAGTACTTGGTGGCAAAACCCTTGTTGGCAATCACAGAGGTCAGACGTTTCTTGTAGTAAGCCACCAGGTTTGCACACATCTCAGGAAGGATTTTGTCCCACTCCTCTTTGCAGATCTTCTCCAAGTCATTAAGGTTTCGAGCCTGACGTTTGGCAACTCGAACCTTCAGCTCTCTCCACAGATTTTTTATGGGATTAAGGTCTGGAGACTGGCTAGGCCACTCCAGGACCTTTAATGTGCTTCTTCTTGAGCCACTCCTTTGTTGCCTTGGCTGTGTGTTTTGGGTCATTGTCATGCTGGAATACCCATCCAAGACCCATTTTCAATGCCCTGGCTGAGGGAAGGAGGTTCTCACCCAAGATTTGACGGTACATGGCCCCGTCCATCGTCCCTTTGATGCGGTGAAGTTGTCCTGTCCCCTTAGCAGAAAAACACCCCCAAAGCATAATGTTTTCACCTCCATGTTTGACGGTGGGGATGGTGTTCTTGGGGTCATAGGCAGCATTCCTCCTCCTCCAAACACGGCGAGTTGAGTTAATGCCAAAGAGCTCGATTTTGGTCTCATCTGACCACAACACTTTCACCCAGATCTCCTCTGAATCATTCAGATGTTCATTGGCAAACTTCAGACGGGCCCGTATATGTGCTTTCTTGAGCAGGAGAACCTTGCGGGCGCTGCAGGATTTCAGTCCTTCACGGCGTAGTGTGTTACCAATTGTTTTCTTGGTGACTATGGTCCCAGCTGCCTTGAGATCATTGACAAGATCCTCCAGTGTAGTTCTGGGCTGATTCCTCACCGTTCTCATGATCATTGCAACTCCACGAGGTGAGAACTTGCATGGAGCCCCAGGCAGAGGGAGATTGACAGTTCTTTTGTGTTTCTTCCATTTGCGAATAATCGCACCAACTGTTGTCACCTTCTCACCAAGCTGCTTGGCGATGGTCTTGTAGCCCATTCCAGCCTTGTGTAGGTCTACAATCTTGTCCCTGACATCCTTGGAGAGCTCTTTGGTCTTGGCCATGGTGGAGAGTTTGGAATCTGATCGATTGATTGCTTCTGTGGACAGGTGTCTTTTATACAGGTAACAAGCTGAGATTAGGAGCACTCCCTTGAAGAGTGTGCTCCTAATCTCAGCTCGTTACCTGTATAAAAGACACCTGGGAGCCAGAAATGTTTCTGATAGAGGGGGTCAAATACTTATTTCCCTCATTAAAATGCAAATCAATTTATAACATTTTTGACATGCGTTTTACTGGATTTTTTTGTTGTTATTCTGTCTCTCACTGTTCAAATAAACCTACCATTAAAATTAGACTGATAATTTCTTTGTCAGTGGGCAAACGTACAAAATCAGCAGGGGATCAAATACTTTTTTCCCCTCACTGTAAGTAGCAGTAAAGAACATCCACTAAACATGGCTTCTGGTCCAGACCAATGGAAATATGTAGCAATTGCACCATGATACTGTCAGATTCAAAGAAAACACCTAAACATTGTTTAAACTCTATTTTCTGAAAGAAGCAGCAACCACAAAAGATTGTGGCAATGCAGGATGATTACAACTGAATAAAAGTAATATTGACTGAGTTGACTGTCTTTCAGCTACAAATGCACACCCCACTTTGGTTACTCTATGCCCTTCACTGCTGTCTTGGGATCAGTTTTCTTACTGCTCCAGTGTTGGCATCAACCAAGAGCTAAACTACCCACGTTGACCCAGAACAGCTTTAAAGCAGACAGTAACCAGGACACAACACACACACACACACAAAGGGACACTCAAACCAGACGGAACGAGGGGGGGTCACAGATCTCTGCAGAGCAACAAGGAGCACTGTAAGCTGAGGGTTGTGTGTGTGTGTGTGTGTGTGTGTGTGTGTGTGTGTGTAAAGGCCTGGAGGTATACAGGAGGTGCTGCTCAGAAGATTTGCTGCTCAAACAGAATCTTCTCGAAGCCTTGTGGTGCCGTATGGCAGAAGTCACTGAACTGGCAGTCTAAGATGGCGCTGTCATCCACTGGAATAGAGGAGAGATCAAATCAACATCAGTTCAGTCTGTGTTTCATGGGGGTTCTTTAGCAGGCATAACTCACTGACTGCAACGACAAAAACTAGTAGTGTTCAATTGCTTTTACATCGTATGCTACCAACCAAAAAGGAAGGACGTCAGTTTCAGCTATGTACGAACTGCCCTCTTGTGGCAGAAAAATACCACAACCATAAAGACAATTCTGGGGCAGATTTCCTTGGCATTTGCGCCTGTTTTTTCCCCACTGGGAATTAACAAAAGGTAGAGCAAGGGTTAATATATAATATGTAAATAAAGGTTAAGAGAAAGAATAACATTCATAAAAGAAAATTGTTTAATGTTTGATATTGTTGCTTTTCCCTCCTAAGAGGTAAAGTCTGTCCCTGTGCATGCAGCAGTGTACACACACACTCACTCACTCACCATAAACCACCGGGAACACGGTGCCTCTGATCCCTGAAGCTGGACAGTGCATATTCTTCCCATTCAGATAGAGATTCATCTCCACGTGGTCATATGTGATGCCCTGAGATGGAAAACAAACAACTGATTAGATCAGTGTTGATTGTGTTGGTCCGTTTATTCGGATTCATTTAGGCCATATCTTTAGAAGTATTTCAACATCAATACAGCTGATCAGTGATCAATTAAGTAAGAATTAGATTAGAGAACTTGTTGGTGGTCATCTCTTTGATAATCTCGCCCACCAGCCGGTTCTCTCTGTCAAGATGTCTTGTTTCCGAGCGCCTCAGAACGGGACTTGACTGGAAGCCTATGGCAGGAGCCGACGAAACAACCGCTGGTTTTAATTGGCTGATCTCTCAGTCCATCACCAACCTCCCCCTAAGTGTGCTGTATCCAGGGGCCAGTATTGTTTTTGTGTTTGTGTTTCCCCACCCCCCTGAAAAAAAGTATTATTATAAAAAAAATGAGGAACTCACTCCAGCTTTCAACTTACTCTTGAAAGTTGTAATAGTAGAATGCACAAGGTGCAATTTCGAAATTGGGTAGTGCAGCAAGTTTTCCTCTTTTCATGTCAGTCATTGCATACCTTAAGAGCTATTTATAACTTGTCAGAAATGTCCAGATCAACTAGCCAATGTCAGCTAAAGTTTTTTAGCTACATTTTTTAGCCTATAGATTTTGTTGTAATGTTTGACTCAATCAAATATCACATGAATAGACATTAGACATGGCAAGACAATTAGCTTTAAAACTGCTCAATTTTGTCTGCACCCCATGACAAAATGTGTAGAATTATATCCGCCAACAAGAGAGCTGTGAACAATTTGTCATGAACAGCGCTTATGCCCATAGAAATAGACGTGGCCCGCGCAGGGGGGCGTGTGATGTTCCCCAATGCTGGAAGGGGGGCCTGAGTGAAAAAGTTTGGGAACCACTGCTTTACAGTAGTCAGTGTTCTGCACCATTGCCATTGGTATGGAAAAGACTGCTTGTACTTTTTACTGGTATAGTGTTCTGCACAACCACAACATACATCATCAACTGCCTTTGAGGTCGTCTCTACTTTCTATATTTGAAGACATTAGTGTACAGTGTACAATGTGTTACAGGACAGCTAGCAGAGTTTCCCTGGCTAGCGATTAGCATGAACGGCGATATGTTCCTACTTTTTTTTTTTTTTTTACCTTTATTTATCTAGGCAAGTCAGTTAAGAACAAATTATTATTTACAATGACGGCCTACACCGGCCAAACCCGGATGATGCTTGGCCAATTGTGCGCCGCCCTATGGGACTCCCAATCACGGCCGGTTGTGATACAGCCTGGAATCGAACCAGGGGGTCTGTAGTGACGCCTCAAGCACTGAGATGCAGTGCCTTAGACCGCTGCGCCACCTCGGGTTCCGGGGAACTATTTCCGTGGTGCACCATAACAAACACTTTTACACCTCGATTTGGAGCCACGCCACATAGTTATGTGAATCTCTAAAAATTTGAATGATCATGTCACTCAGTAAATCCACATCCCCTAAGTCCCACACGGTTACCAGGCTCAATGCCCCAGCAATTCGAGCCTGGGGTCGAGGTTCTCTTTGATGGTATGTACATTGATGATATGCACTGTAAAAAAAATTATCCCTGCACACCTCCTGACCGACTTCCCCCACTTAGCCTATCCCAATCCAATCTACGTCTATAGAGGCGGGACTTCCTCCAACACACCTTAACCCTTAAGTAGCCTCATCTGCCTTTAAAGGGAGTGTAGCAACTATTTGTCAATGACAGAAACACATAATAGTAACTTAGAGCACCCCAAGAAAACAAACAAACTCTTAAATCAATTTTCATAATATTGTAATGTTGTTCTAAATGTTGGTTTTGAGGTTCTCCAAATCAACTCTAACTTCGGAAACAATCCCACAATGCCCTGCGGTCAGCGTCACGCGGTGAATGAAAAACTTTGTAAAAAGTGGGATAAATTTGATATTTACTAGCCCATACCAGTGACAAATTTAGCTATGTTATCAACATATGGCAGTACACAAACAAAATGTAGATCACTTATTTTGCTAGTTAGAAAGAAATAGCCACAAATTCAGAAAAGGAGGAAGAGGATAGCTATAGGATGCTAACATGATCTGCTGCGTCTTCGAAAAGAAGCAACTGTGACCACATTGATCCTACGATAAAAATTTTAAAAAAAACTTTCCCATGGAGCAAAATCCACAAGAAATCATGTCTCCGGGGCTTCTCCGAAATGCCATCAGATCCGCGATAGGATCCATGGCCAAAACGTGGCATTTCAGTTCAACCCGCATTCGGCAGGGGAGCCACAGAATGGTCAAATTACCACAACACGCAGCCCCCACAAGCACCTTAAACTCCGGTTTCCATATTCCATTCCTAAAATCTGCCATCAGTCCAGCGTAGGACTGTAGGGAATATCTTTGAGATGCCCTAGCCCATAGCAGAGGCCAGAATAAAATTCTGCTGGAGGTGTCGCATCAGTTTACCTATTTACTGATGGCCCTGCCTACACCGGACGACTTGTTAAAAAAAATTATATGAGCAAAACATATTCCACTTTATTTGGAACGGCAAGCCAGACAAAATTAAACAGGCCTATTTATATAATGAATATAAATTCGGGGGGCTACAATGATTAAATATTAAAGCATTGAACCTCTCACTAAAGGCTTCAGTCAAAAGTTATACTTAAATAAAATAAAAGAACATTTTATTTGCCACATGCGCCGAATACAACAGGCAGTGCAAATAGTCCGGGTAGCAATGATTAGCTGTTCAGGAGTCTTATGGCTTGGGGGTAGAAGCTGTTGAGAAGCCTTTTGGACCTACACTTGGCGCTCCGGTACCGCTTGCCGTGCGGTAGCAGAGAGAACAGTCTATGACTAGGGTGGCTGGAGTCTTTGACAATTTTGAGGGCCTTCCTCTGACACCGCCTGGTATAGAGGTCCTGGATGGCAGGAAGCTTGGCCCCAGTGATGTACTGGGCCGTACGCACTACCCTCTGTAGTGCCTTGCGGTCGAGGCCGAGCAGTTGCCGAGCAGTTGCGGGGATGCAACCAGTCAGGATGCTCTCGATGGTGCAGCTGTATAACTTTTTGAGGATCTGAGGACCCACGCCAAATCTTTTCAGTCTCCTGAGGGGGAATAGGCTTTGTCGTGCCCTCTTCACGACTGTCTTGGTGTGTTTGGACCATGATAGTTAGTTGGTGATGTGGACACCAAGGAACTTGAAGCTCTCAACCTGAGAATGGGGGCGTGCTCAGTCCTCTTTTTTCCCCCTGTAGTCCACAATCATCTCCTTTGTCTTGATCACGTTGAGGGAGAGGTTGTTATCCTGGCACCACACGGCCAGGTCTCTGACCTCCTCCCTATAGGCTGTCTCATCGTTGTCGGTGATCAGGCCTACCACTGTTGTGTCGTCAGCAAACTTAATGATGGTGTTGGAGTCGTGCCTGGCCGTGCAGTCATGGGTGAACAGGCAGTACAGGAGGGGACTGAGCACGCACCCCTGAGGGGCCCCCGTGTTGAGGATCAGCATGGCAGATGTGTTGTTACCTACCCTTACCACCTGGGGGCGGCCCGTCAGGAAGTCCAGGATCCAGTTGCAGAGGGAGGTGTTTAGTCCCAGGATCCTTATCTTAGTGATGAGCTTTGAGGGCACTATGTTGTTGAATGCTGAGCTGTAGTCAATGAACAGCATTCTCACGTAGGTGTTCCTCTTGTCCAGCTGGGAAAGGGCAGTGTGGAGTGCAATAGAGATCATCTGTGGATCTGTTGGGGCGGTATGCAAATTGGAGTGGGTCTAGGGTTTCTGGAATAATGGTGTTGATGTGAGCCATGACCAACCTTTCAAAGCACATCATGGCTACAGACGTGAGTGCTACGGGTCGGTAGTCATTTAGGCAGGTTATCTTAGTGTCCTTGGGTACAGGGACTATGGTGTTCTGCTTGAAACATGTTGGTATAACAGACTCAGTCAGGGACATGTTGAAAATATTAGTGAAGACACTTGCCAGTTGGTCAGCACATGCTTGGAGTACACGTCCTGGTAATCCGTCTGGCCCTGCGGCCTTGAATGTTGACCTGCTTAAAAGTCTTACTCACATCGGCTACGGAGAGCGTGATCACACAGTCATCCGGAACAGCTTGTGCTCTCATGCATGCTTCAGTGTTGCTTGCCTCGAAGCGAGCATAGAAGTGATTTAGCTCGTCTGGTAGGCTTGTGTCACTGGGCAGCTCGCGGCTGTGCTTCCTTTTGTAGTCTGTAATAGTTTTCAAGCCCTGCCACATCCGACGATTGTCAGAGCCGTAGTAGTATGATTCAATCTTAGTCCGGTATTGACTCTTTGCCTGTTTGATCGTTCATAGCGGGATGTCTTATAAGCGTCCGGGTTAGAGTCCCGCTCCTTGAAAGCGGCAGCTCTACCATTTAGCTCAGTGCGGATGTTGCCTGTAATCCATGGCTTCTGGTTGGGGTATGTACGTACGGTCACTGTGGGGATGACGTCATCGATGCACTTATTGATGAAGCCAGTGACTGATGTGGTGTACTCCTCAATGCTATCTGAAGAATCCCGGAACATATTCCAGTCTGTGCTAGCAAAAGAGTCCTGTAGCTTAGCATCTGCATCATCTGACCACTTTTTTATTATCCGAGTCACTGGAGCTTCCTGCTTTGTATGCGTCTCTGTGTGTGGAGTAAAGGTGGCCTAGAGTTTTTTTCCCTCTGGTTGCACATTTAACATGCTGGTAGAAATGGGTAGAACGGATTTAAGTTTCCCTGCATTAAAGTCCCAGGCCACTAGGAGCGCTGCCTCTGGATGAGCGTTTTCCTGTTTACTTATGGCCTTATACAGCTCATTGAGTGCAATCTTAATACCAGCATCGGTTTGTGGTGGTAGATAGACAGCTACGAAAAATTTAGATGAAAAGTCTCTTGGTAAATAGTGTGGTCTACAGCTTATCATAAGATACATTTACATTTTACATTTAAGTCATTTAGCAGACGCTCTTATCCAGAGCGACTTACAAATTGGTGCATTCACCCTATAGCCAGTGGGTTAACCACTTTACAACAATATTTTTTTTGGGGGGGTAGACGGATTACTTCATCCTATCCCAGGTATTCCTTAAAGAGGTGGGGTTTCAAATGTCTCCGGAAGGTGGTGAGTGACTCCGCTGTCCTGGCGTCGTGAGGGAGCTTGTTCCACCATTGGGGTGCCAGAGCAGCGAACAGTTTTGACTGTGCTGAGCGGGAACTATGCTTCCGCAGAGGAAGGGGAGCCAGCAGGCCAGAGGTGGATGAACGCAATGCCCTCGTTTGGGTGTAGGGACTGATCAGAGCCTGAAGGTACGGAGGTGCCGTTCCCCTCACTGCTCCATAGGCAAGCACCATGGTCTTGTAACGGATGCGAGCTTCAACTGGAAGCCAGTGGAGTGTGCGGAGGAGGGGGGTGACGTGAGAGAACTTGGGAAGGTTGAACACCAGACGGGCTGCGGCATTCTGGATGAGTTGTAGGGGTTTAATGGCACAGGCAGGGAGCCCAGCCAACAGCGAGTTGCAGTAATCCAGACGGGAGATGACAAGTGCCTGGATTAGGACCTGTGCCGCTTCCTGTGTAAGGCAGGGTCGTACTCTCCGAATGTTGTAGAGCATGAACCTGCAGGATCGGGTCACCGCCTTGATGTTAGCGGAGAACGACAGGGAGTTGTCCAGGGTCACGCCAAGGCTCTTCGCACTCTGGGAGGAGGACACAACGGAGTTGTCAACCGTGATGGCGAGATCATGGAACGGGCAGTCCTTCCCCGGGAGGAAGAGCAGCTCCGTCTTGCCAGGGTTCAGCTTGAGGTGGTGATCCGTCATCCATACTGATATGTCGGCCAGACATGCAGAGATGCGATTCGCCACCTGGTTATCAGAAGGGGGAAAGGAGAAGATTAGTTGTGTATCGTCAGCGTAGCAATGATAGGAGAGGCCATGTGAGGATATGACAGAGCCAAGTGACTTGGTGTATAGGGAGAAAAGGAGAGGGCCTAGAACTGAGCCCTGGGGGACACCAGTGGTGAGAGCACGTGGTGCGGAGACAGCTTCTCGCCACGCCACTTGGTAGGAGCGACCGGTCAGGTAGGACGCAATCCAGGAGTGAGCCGCGCCGGAGATGCCCAGCTCGGAGAGGGTGGAGAGGAGGATCTGATGGTTCACAGTATCAAAGGCAGCAGACAGGTCTAGAAGGACAAGAGCAGAGGAGAGAGAGTTAGCTTTAGCAGTGCGGAGAGCCTCCGTGACACAGAGAAGAGCAGTCTCAGTTGAATGACCAGTCCTGAAACCTGACTGGTTTGGATCAAGAAGGTCATTCTGAGAGAGATAGCAAGAGAGTTGGCTAAAGACGGCACGTTCAATAGTTTTGGAAAGAAAAGAAAGAAGGGATACTGGTCTGTAGTTGTTGACATCAGTGGGATCGAGTGTTGGTTTTTTGAGAAGGGGTGCAACTCTCGCTCTCTTGAAGACGGAAGGGACATGGCCAGCGGTCAAGGATGAGTTGATCAGCGAGGTGAGGTAGGGGAGAAGGTCACCGGAGATGGTCTGGAGAAGAGAGGAGGGGATGGGGTCAAGCGGGCAGGTTGTTGGGCGGCCTGCAGTCACTAGTCGCAAGATTTTATCTGGAGAGAGGGGAGAAAGAAGTCAAAGCATAGGGTAGGGCAGTGTGAGCAGGACCAGCAGTGTCATTAGACTTAACAAACGAGGATCGGATGTCGTCAACCTTCTTTTCAAAGTGGTTGACGAAGTCATCCACAGAGAGGGAGGAGGGGGGGGGGGGGGGGGGGGGGGGGAGGATTCAGCAGTGAGGAGAATGTGGCAAAGAGCTTCCTAGGGTTAGAGGCAGATGCTTGGAATTTAGAGTGGTAGAAAGTGGCCTTAGCAGCAGAAACAGATGAAGAAAATGTAGAGAGGAGGGAGTGAAAAGATGCCAGGTCGGCAGGGAGTTTAGTTTTCTTCCATTTCCGCTCAGCTGCCCGGAGCTCTGTTCTGTGAGCTCGCAATGAGTCATCAAGCCACGGAGCTGGAGGGGAGGACCGAGCCGGCCGGGAGGATAGGGGACACAGGGAGTCAAAGGATGCAGAAAGGGAGGAGAGGAGGGTTGAGGAGGCAGAATCAGGAGATTGGAGGGAGAAGGATTGAGCAGAGGGAAGAGATGATAGGATGGAAGAGGAGAGAGTAGTGGGAGACAGAGAGCGAAGGTTGCGGCGGCGCGTTACCATCTGTGTAGGGGCAGAGTGAGTAGTGTTGGAGGAGAGCGAGAGAGAAAAGGATACAAAGTAGTGGTCGGAGACATGGAGGGGAGTTGCAGTGAGATTAGTAGAAGAGCAACATCTAGTAAAGATGAAGTCAAGCGTATTGCCTGCCTTGTGAGTAGGGGGGGACGGTGAGAGGGTGAGGTCAAAAGAGGAGAGGAGTGGAAAGAAGGAGGCAGAGAGAAATGAGTCAAATGTAGACGTAGGGAGGTTGAAATCCCCCAAAACTGTGAAGGGTGAGCCATCCTCAGGAAAGGAACTTATCAAGGCGTCAAGCTCATTGATGAACTCTCCAAGGGAACCTGGAGGGCGATAGATGACAAGGATATTAAGCTTAAATGGGCTAGTGACTGCGACAGCGTGGAATTCAAATGAGGAGATAGACAGATGGGTTAGGGGAAAAATTGAGAATGACCACTTAGGAGAGATGAGGATTCCTGTGCCACAACCCCTCTGACCAGATGCTCTCGGGGTATGCGAGAACACATGGTCAGACGAGGAGAGAGCAGTAGGAGTAGCAGTGTTTTCAGTGGTAATCCATGTTTCCGTCAGCGCCAGGAAGTCGAGGGACTGGAGGGTAGCATAGGCTGGGATGAAGTCAGCCTTGTTGGCGGCAGAACGGCAGTTCCAGAGGCTGCCTGAGACCTGGAACTCCAGGTGTGTGGTGCGTGCAGGGACCACCAGGTTAGAGAGGCAGCAGCCACGCGGTGTGAGGCGTTTGTGTAGCCTGTGCGGAGAGGAGAGAACAGGGATAGGCAGAGGCATAGTTGACAGGCTGCAGCAGATGGCTACAATAATGCAGAGGAGATCGGAATGAAATGAACTAAACATCTGGGAAAGGAGAGAGCAGGCCTCCCTCACCAAAAAAATATATATATATAACTCTCCCAACTTCCACCTCAGAAACTATAATTGTTTCACTGAACCACCCAAATAAAACTCTCCCAACTTCCACTTTAGAAATTAGAATTGTTGTAAACTACAGCAGACTGTTATCAGTAGCTGTAATTAAGTACAGCAGCTACCAACCACCTAACGTTAATGCCTCGGATAATGAGGTTAGAAAAACAGCTGAATGGTGGCAGCTAGCTGGCTCAGTCACAGGTACTCTTAAGCATGAAATAACATTGGAAACAACTAACCACAGTTGCTAAAAGTTACCAGTAGCTACCCGCTAGCTAGCTAGCTAGCTAGCTAGCTTTGTTGGTCCAAGTAGTGGGTAAGCTAGCCTCGTGCTTCGCCGGGGTCCGCCGAATACAATACTTACCTACAATAATTACCTACAATAACTACCTGAGTAAGCTACCTATAATACCTAACTACAATACCTACCTACAATCTAAATACATGATACTCTACCTCAGGCGAGCAAAACCTTGAGACTTCCTTAGTATTAGATTTTGTGCACCAACTGTTGTTTACAAATATACACAGACCGCCACCCCTTGTCTTACCGGAGTCAGCCATTCTATCCTGCCGATGTAGCGTATATCCCGCCAGCTGTATGTTATCCATGTCGTCGTTCAGCCACGACTCGGTGAAACATAAGATATTACAGTTTTTAATGTCCCGTTGGTAGGATAACCATAATCTTAGGCCGTCCAATTTGTTCTCAAATGATTGAACATTGGCTAATAGGATTGATGGAAGAGGAAGTTTACTCGCTCGACGTCGGATCCTTAAAAGGCACCCCAACCTACGTCCACGATATCTCCGTCTCTTTCTCATGCGAATGACGGGGATTTGGGCCTTGTCGGGTGTCTGTAGGATATCCTTCGCGTCCGGCTCGTTGAAGAAAAAATCTTTGTCCAATACGAGGTGAGTAATCGCTGTCTTGATATCCAGAAGCTCTTTTTAGTCATAAGAGACGGTGGCAGAAACATTATGTACAGAGTAAATTACAAATAACGCGAAAAAACACACATAATAGTACAACTGGTTAGAGGGCTGTAAAACGGCAGCCATCTTCTCCGGCGCCATACTAATCCGAACTGGTTCTCCAGCAGATTAGTAAGAATGGCACACCCTATGTTCAAAAATGGTATTTTTCCATTTATTCTGATTACAACCTCACACTTTCGGTTATTTGAAAATGAAATAATCTCCCTAATATCACTAAAGCTGGTTGCAATTTCAGTTTAATCCCCCAGAAAAGACATATTAGATATTACAACAAATATTATGGTTAAACTCAAATATACTAATTGATAAACCATTCTTTTTGGAAAAAAAAAAATTTAACGGTATAATCTTTGTTAATGATATCATAAATAGGACTGGGGGAGTTATGTCACACATAAGAAATATATGGTACAGCTAACAGAAATATATGGAAATGTCTGCTCTATCCAAAATTACAACCAACTGATTGCAGCATTACCACAAAATTGGAGGAGGCAAGTGGAAGGGGGAGAAGGTAAGGAACTTGTTTGTCAGCCCAGCATTAAAGACCAAAATTGGTTGAAAAAAAATAGTGATAAATAAAAAAAGAATATCAGTTCCATTTAAGGACCAAAAAATGGACAGCTGTGCCATACAAGTTGCAAAATAATTGAGAAGAGATTCTTGATCTGCCGATTCTATGGCACAGGTTTTAGGAACTGATACACAAAACATTGCCAGATTCAAAACTTAAGATTACAATTATTATATAAAATTCTTGCAACCAATATAATGTTATGTATATGGGGGATACAACCATCCCAGCTCTGCAGATTTAGCTGCTAAGAGACTGAATCATTAGATCACTTGTTTTGGTATACCCATATGTAGCTTGTTTTTGGTCACAGGTTCAGGAATTGCTGAACAATCACAACATTTACTTAAAGCTATCTGTGCAAATAGCACTGCTGGTTAACTTGAAAAGCCATGGTCAGTCAATCAAGAATATAATAGTACTTTTAGTAAAGGTATTCATCTTTAATTTAGAATCTGTGGAAACTATGAGAATAGAAAGGTTCAGAACTTTTGTGAAACATCACAGCACAGTTGAAAAATATTTGGCAAGTAGAAATCAAGACTGGATGTTTTCTAGAGATAGATGGGAGCGGTTGAATTTTTTAGCGATCCAATACGTAATATGGCACACTTATCATAGTTTGGTTAGAAAAATGATCTAGATCGTCTGAGGCTGTGCAGGGATCCATATTGCAGATTTAAAAGAAAACATGAGTCGTCAGCGTACAATGACACCTTTGTTTTTATGCCCTGGATTTCTAGCCCTTTGATATTACTGTTGGATCTTATTTTAATAGCTAACATTTCTATGGCTATAATAAATACACTGCTCAAAAAAATAAAGGGAACACTTAAACAACACAATGTAACTCCAAGTCAATCACACTTCTGTGAAATCAAACTCTCCACTTAGGAAGCAACACTGATTGACAATAAATTTCACATGCTGTTTTGCAAATGGAATAGACAACAGGTGGAAATTATAGGCAATTAGCAAGACACCCCCAATAAAGGAGTGGTTCTGCAGGTGGTGACCACAGACCACTTCTCAGTTCCTATGCTTCCTGGCTGATGTTTTGGTCACTTTTGAATGCTGGCGGTGCTTTCACTCTAGTGGTAGCATGAGACGGAGTCTACAACCCACACAAGTGGCTCAGGTAGTGCAGCTCATCCAGGATGGCACATCAATGCGAGCTGTGGCAAGAAGGTTTGCTGTGTCTGTCAGCGTAGTGTCCAGAGCATGGAGGCGCTACCAGGAGACAGGTCAGTACATCAGGAGACATGGAGGAGGCCGTAGGAGGGCAACAACCCAGCAGCAGGACCGCTACCTCCGCCTTTGTGCAAGGAGGAGCAGGAGGAGCACTGCCAGAGCCCTGCAAAATGACCTCCAGCAGGCCACAAATGTGCATGTGTCTGCTCAAACGGTCAGAAACAGACTCCATGAGGGTGGTATGAGGGCCCGACGTCCACAGGTGGGGGTTGTGCTTACAGCCCAACACCGTGCAGGACGTTTGGCATTTGCCAGAGAACACCAAGATTGGCAAATTCGCCACTGGCGCCCTGTGCTCTTCACAGATTAAAGCAGGTTCACACTGAGCACACGTGACAGACGTGACAGAGTCAGGAGACGCCGTGGAGAACGTTCTGCTGCCTGCAACATCCTCCAGCATGACCGGTTTGGCGGTGGGTCAGTCATGGTGTGGGTGGCATTTCTTTGGGGGGCCGCACAGCCCTCCATGTGCTCGCCAGAGGTAGCCTGACTGCCATTAGTTACCGAGATGAGATCCTCAGACCCCTTATGAGACCATATGCTGGTGCGGTTGGCCCTGGGTTCCTCCTAATGCAAGACAATGCTAGACCTCATGTGGCTGGAGTGTGTCAGCAGTTCCTGCAAGAGGAAGGCATTGATGCTATGGACTGGCCCGCCCGTTCCCCAGACCTGAATCCAATTGAGCACATCTGGGACATCATGTCTCGCTCCATCCACCAACGCCACGTTGCACCACAGACTGTCCAGGAGTTGGCGGATGCTTTAGTCCAGGTCTGGGAGGAGATCCCTCAGGAGATCATCCGGCACCTCATCAGGAGCATGCCTAGGCGTTGTAGGGAGGTCGTACAGGCACGTGGAGGCCACACACACTACTGAGCCTCATTTTGACTTGTTTTAAGGACATTACATCAAAGTTGGATCAGCCTGTAGTGTGGTTTTCCACTTTAATTTTGAGTGTGACTCCAAATCCAGACCTCCATGGGTTGATAAATTTGATTTCCATTGAAAATTTTTGTGTGATTTTGTTGTCAGCACATTCAACTATGTAAAGAAAAAAGTATTTAATAAGATTATTTCATTCATTCAGATCTAGGATGTGTTATTTTAGTGTTCCCTTAATTTTTTTGAGCAGTGTAGATATGTCGATAGTGGACAACCTTGTTTTACTCCTTTTGAAAATGTTATACTTTCTGAGAAGTACCCATTATTTAGTATTTTACAACTGGGGTTACTATACTTAACTTTAACCCATAGTCCATGCATGTATATATAAATTCTAGTCGTACTTTATCAAAGGCTTTTTCAAAATCAGCTATGAATACCAGGCCTGTTTTCAATTTTTCCATCTATTTCACTTTATACTTGAACTTTCTTGAATAAGTTCCTCTTTCTTTTTGCTTTTCCTCTAACTAATTCTGTGCCTATTTTACAGTTTTTATTGCTATATGTACTGTTAGTTCCTCTATTTCCATTGTTAATATGAACTCTTTTGACCTAAATCGTTTTTATTTTAAAGATGAGTATTGAATTGCATGGCCTCTAAAGGCACATTTAAAAGTGTCCCATACAATAAGGGGATCTGCTGTACCTATGTCGGAAAAAGTCAGTTATAAATTATTCTGTCTTGGTTAAAAATAAGTTGTCATCCAGTAGGCTTTGGTTAAATGTCCAATATCCACGCCCTCGTGGAAATTCTGTAAGAGTAATGTGTATACCAATTATTTGATGGTCTGACCGCATTCTGTCGCCTATCAACACTTTTTAAACTTTTGGTGCCAGCAAGAATGACATTAGAAAGTATTCAAGATGACTAGCTTGATTGAGCCTCCGCCATGTATATATCACGAGGTCAGGATATTTAAGCCTCCATATATCCACTAGTTTCAAAAGTATTCACCCCCCTTGGCATTTTTCCTATTTTGTTGCCTTACAACCTGGAATTAAAATAGATTTTTTGGGGGGTTGTATCATAAACAGGTTTCCCTCAAGAATTTCCCTGTATTTAGCGCCATCCATCATTCCTTCAATTCTGACCAGTTTCCCAGTCCCTGCAGATGAAAAACATCCCCACAGCATGATGCTGCCACCACCATGCATCACTGTGGGGATGGTGTTCTCGGGGTGATGAGAGGTGTTGGGTTTGCGCCAGACATAGCGTTTTCCTTGATGGCCAAAAAGCTCAATTTTAGTCTCATCTGACCAGAGTACCTTTGGGGAGTCTCCCACATGCCTTTTGGCGAACACCAAACGTGTTTGCTTATTTTTTTCTTTAAGCAATGGCTTTTTTCTGGCCACTCTTCCGTAAAGCCCAGCTCTGTGGAGTGTACGGCTTAAAGTGGTCCTATGGACAGATACTCCAATCTCCGCTGTGGAGCTCTGCAGCTCCTTCAGGGTTATCTTTGGTCTATTTGTTGCCTCTCTGATTAATGCCCTCCTTGCCTGGTCCGTGAGTTATGATGGGCGGCCTTCTCTTGGCAGGTTTGTTGTGGTGCCATATTCTTTCCATTTTTTAATAATGGATTTAAATGGTGCTCCGTGGGATGTTCAAAGTTTCGGATATTTTTTCATACCCAACCCTGATCTGTACTTCTCCACAACTTTGTCCCTGACCTGTTTGGAGAGCTCTTTGGTCTTCATGGTGCCGCTTGCTTGGTGGTGCCCCTTGCTTAGTGGTGTTGCAGACTCTGGGGCCTTTCAGGACAGGTGTATATATACTGAGATCATGTGACAGATCATGTGACACTTAAATAAAGTCCACCTGTGTGCAATCTAACTAATTATGTGACTTCTGAAGGTAATTGGTTGCACCAGATCTTATTTAGGGGCTTCATAGCAGGTGAATATATATGCACGCACCACTTTTCCGTTATTTATTTTTTATACTTTTTTTCATTTCACTTCACCAATTTGGACTATTTTGTGTATGTCCATTACATGAAATCCAAATAAAAATCAATTTAAATTACAGGTTGTAATGCAACAAAATAGGAAAAACGCCAAGTGGGATGAATACTTTTGCAAGGCACTGTATCCATTATATTCAGGATTTCCTTAAGTGCGTGAGGGTGATAGTTTTGTAGTGCAATTTCCTTTACGGTCCATTGAGGTACTTAAATCCGTATTATAATCTCCCACCATAATAATTGAGTAATTTATTGCTTGTAAAATTCGATAAATTATTATATATATACACTACCAGTCAAACGTTTGGACACACCTACTCATTCAAGGGTTTTTCTTTATTTTTACATTGTAGAATAATAGTGAAGACATCAAAACTATGAAATAACACATATGGAATCATGTAGTAACCAAAAAAAAGTGTTGATGACAGCTTTGCACTCTCTTGGCATTCTCTCAACCAGCTTCATGAGGTAGTCACCTGGAATGCATTTCAATTAACAGGTGTACCTTCCTAAAAGTTAATTTGTGGAATTTCTTTCCTTCTTAATGCGTTTGAGCCAATCAGTTGTGTTGTGACAAGGTAGGGGTGGTATACAGAAGATCGCCCTATTTGGTAAAAGTCCATATTATGGCAACAAAAGTCCATATTATGGCAAGAACAGCTCAAATAAGCAAAGAGAAACGACAGTCCATCATTACTTTAAGACATGAAGGTCAGTCAATACGGAACATTTCAAGAACTTTGAAAGTTTCTTCAAATGCAGTCGCAAAAACCATCAAGTGCTATGATGAAACTGGCTCTCATGAGGACCACAACAGGAATGGAAGACCCAGAGTTACCTCTGTTGTGGAGGATAAGTTCATTAGAGTTACCTCAGAAATTGCAGCCCAAATAAATGCTTCAGAGTTCAAGTCACAGACACATCTCAACATCAACTGTTCAAAGGGGACTGTGTGAATCAGATAGCATTTGCTCTTAAGACTGTTCTTATTGTACAGAAGCCAGAGTTTGGCCCCCAAAACAAGCTTCCTCTCATCATTATCCATACCCGAGCCATCTCTCCCTGGTACCTCATTACACAAACACCAACTCATTCTATGGAATGCATGCTGTAGGTTTTATCACCAAAGGCATCATAAATCTACTGTCAGTGTTAACACAGACACATGAGAGTTCTAAGAACCCTATTCTATTGCAGAAAACAACCATTTGATGCAATAACAGTATTATAACATAATTTTGTAATTTCTGCTCTCACATGATCTCCGCATGTGTAGTTCCCACCGTAAAGCAGGGAGGAGGAGGTGTTATGGTGTGGGGGTGCTTTGCTGGTGACACTGTCTGTGATTTATTTAGAATTCAAGGCACACTTAACCAGCATGGCTACCACAGCATTCTGCAGCAATACGCCATCCCATCTGATTTGGGCTTAGTGGGACTATCATTTGTTTTTCAACAGGACAATGACCCAACACACCTCCAGGCTGTGTAAGGGCTATTTTACCAAGAAGGAGAGTGATGGAGTGCTGCATCAGATGACCTGGCCGCCACAATCCCCCGACCTCAACCCAATTGAGATGGTTTGGGATGAGTCGGATGGCAGAGTGAAGGAAAGGTAGCCAACAAGTGCTAAGCATATGTGGGAACTCCTTCAAGACTGTTGGAAAAGCATTCCAGGTGAAGCTGGTTAAGAGTGTGCAAAGCTGTCATCAAGGCTATTTGAAGAATCTCAAATATATAAATATATTTTGATTTAACACTTTTTTGGTTACTACATGATTCCTTATGTGTTATTTCATAGTTTTGATGTCTTCACTATTTTTCTACAATGTAGAAAATAGTACAAATAAAGAAAAACCCTTGAATGAGTAGGTGTCCAAACTTTTGACTGGTACTTTATTTTCAAAGAAGCGTGGATCATCATAATTTGGACCGTATAGATTAATGAGCCAAATCTGTTTATGGTCCAATTGCATATTTAAAAGGATCCACCTTCCTTGCGGATCCGTTTGAACAGTTTGCACATTCGGATCAAAATGATTGTTCATTAATATCATCACCCCTTTTGAGTTTCTTTGCCCATGGGAGAAATATATTTAGCCCCCCCTCCCCCATCTAAAGGTGTAGAATGAGTTTCCTGTAAACAATATATATTATATTCCTACTCTTTTAGCCAGGTAAAGACTGATCATCTTTTCTTATTATCTGCTAAGCCATCACAATTATAACTAGTTATACTTATTTCACCACTTACCATAATGAGATACAAGTTTCGATTATACTTACCATAACATATGTTTGTAAACTTACCATTAAGAAGTACCATGATAATTGAGTTTCCATATAGCTGTACCATGATATTTGCACTGTTAGTTTATAGTTCTTACCTTTGAAGTGTATTCCCTTTATTACCTGGATGTATTATTGAGCAAGTAAGTGTGTCCCCTAACTTTTTTTGCCTATGTTTCTGGAGTTGAGGACTTCCTTTTGTTTATTAGAAGATAATAATATGCCTGTGTTTGTCAAGTATGCCATGTGCTTTCCTTGCTTTTTTGAGTTGTTATAGCTCATTTTAATTAACACTTTATATAGACCTTGAGTGTGTTTGGTATGTGTGACTCTGTTGCACTCCACCAGACCAGTCCACTCACCACAATGTCCCCCTCCTGTGGAAGGCTGTTGGCAGGCAGGCGGTTCTTCTCCTCGTTGTTGTGGTACACCGAGCCATCATGCCTCAAGACAAGGCTGTTGATGTCCCGCCCCAGGGGGACCTGGTTCAGGTTCACCTTCTGAGTGGCCACACCTATCCCCCATATACCTGCACACAGAGGTCAGAACCTTAAAAACAAGTTTCCCAACAAAAACCGTACTGTGCCGGTTTTTAAACCATTTCACTTGAAGTTTACCGAGGTGCAAATACAGTGCCTTCAGAAAGTATTTATACCACTTGACTTATTCCACATTTAGTTGTGTTCCAGACGGAATTCAAAATGGATTAAATAGATGTTTCTCACCCATCTACACACAATACCCCATAATGACAAACTGAACATGTTTTTAAAAATGTTTGCATATTTATTTTAAATGAAATAAAGAAATACAGTATCTCATTTACATAAGTATTCACACCCTTGAGTCAATACATGTTTTAATCACCTTTGGAAGCGATTACAGCTGTGAGTCTTTCTGGGTAAGTCTCTAAGAGCATTGCACACCTGGATTGTACAATATTTGCTCATTATTCTTTTCAAAATTGTATGCACTCACTAACTGTAAGTCGCTCTGGATAAGAGCATCTGCTAAATGACAAAAAATATATATATTTTTTTAAAGAAATAAATAAAATAAATTACAACAATAAATAAAAAAAATACAATAAAAAAGTATTCAAGCTCTGTCAAATTGGTTGTTGATCTTTGCTAGACAACCATTTCCAAGTCTTGCCATAGATGTTCAAGTAGATTGAAGTCAAAACTGTAACTAGGCCACTCAGGAACAGTCAATGTCATCTTGGTAAGCAACTCCAGTGTATATTTGGCCGTGTGTTTTTGGGTTATTGTCCTGCTGAAAAGTGAATTTGTCTACCAGTGTCTGGAAAGCAGACTGAACCAGGTTTTTCTCTAGGATTTTGCCTGTGCTTAGCTCCAATCTGTTGCTTTTTTATCCTGAAAAACTCCCCAGTCCTTATCGATTACAAGCATGCCCATAACATGATGCAGCCACCACTATGCTTGAAAATATGGAGAGTAGTACTCAGTAATGTGTTGTATTGGATTTGCCCCAAACATAACACTTTGTATTCAGGACAAAAAGTGAATTGCTTTGCCACATTTTTTGCAGTATTACTTTAGTGCCTTGTTGCAAACAGGATGCATGTTTTGGAATATTTTTATTCTGTACAAGCTTCGTTTCCTTTTACTCTGTCAATTAGGTTAGTATTGTGGAGTAACTACAATGTTGTTGATCCATCATCAGTTCTCCTATCACAGCCATTATACTCTGTAACAAATGTTTTTAAAGTCACCATTGGTCTCATGGTGAAATCCCTGAGCGGTTACCTTCCTCTCCAGCAACTGAGTTAGGAAGGATGCCTGTATCTTTGTAGTGACTGGTTGTATTGATACACCATCCAAAGTGTAATTAATAACTTCACCATGCTCAAAGGGATATTCAATGTCTGCTTTTTTTATCTACCAATACGTGCCATTCTTTGCGAGGCATTGGAAAACCTCCCTGGTCTTTGTGGTTGGGTCTGTGTTTGAAATTCACTGCTCAACTGAGGGACATTACAGATAATTGTATGTGTGGGGTACAGAGATGAGGTAGTCATTAAAAAATCATGTTAAACACTATTCTTGCACACGGAGTGAGTCCATGCAACTTATTATGTGACTTGTTAAGCAAGTGTTTACTACTGAACTTATTTAGGCTTGCCATAACAAAGGGGTTGAATACTTATTGACTGAAGACATTGCAGCTTTAATTAATTTGTAAAAAAAATCGAAAAACATAATTACAATGTGACATTATGGGGTATTGTGTGTAGGCCAGTGACCAAAAATCTAAACCTAATCAATTTTAAATTCAGGCTGTAACACAATAAAATGTGGAAAAAGTCGAGGGTCGTGAATACTTTCTGAAAGCACTGCAATCGGAAAGTATTCAGACCCCTTGACTTTTTCCACATTTTGTTACGTTACATCCTTATTCTAAAATGGATTAAACAGTTTTTTCCCTCATCAACCTACACACAATACCCCATAATGACAAAGCAAAAACAGGTTTTTAGAAATTTCTGCAAATGTATTAAAAATAAAAAACGGAAATATTAAATGTACATAAGTATTCAGACCCTTTACTCAGGACTTTGTTGAAACACCTTTGGCAGCGAATACAGCCTCAAGTCTTCCTGGGTATGACACTACAAGCTTGGCACGCCTGTATTTGGGGAGTTTCTCCCATTCTTCTCTGCAGATCCTCTCAAGCTCTGTCAGGTTGGATGGGGAGCGTCGCTGCACAGCTATTTTCAGGTCTCTCCAGAGATTTTAGATCGGGTTCAAGTCCGGGCTCTGGCTGGGCCACTCAAGGACATTCATAGACTTGTCCCGAAGCCACTCCTGCGTTGTCTTGGCTGTGTGCTTAGGGTCGTTGTCCTGTTGGATGGTGAACCTTCGCTCCAGTATGAAGTCCTGAGCGCTCTGGAGCAGGATTTCTAAGTGTATGTTGTGTAGTTAGCTGTTCGTAGCGAATGTGCCTCGCCCTAATAATTTGGTCCCTTTAACACTCATAATTTAGCCTACTGTTCTGACTTGGTGGTGCACCTGCTGTTGGGACAGCTTTATGTAGGCCCTAACAGTTTGTGGGCACCGTTTGTCACCGTTATAGTGCAATTAATGTATTGTTTAGTGTTGTGTAGTGGCTTTGCTGGCATGCATTTTTTTTTTTTATGGGAGTTTGCCCCACCAAGATTGACATGCTAAAATCGCCACTGGACAGACAGGTGGACAGTATGGACTCATTTTCAATAATTTACTTACCTGTTGACTGGATCTTGAGCTCAAAGTAACTCTTGTTTTGGTGCAGGGGAGCGTTGGCGAGGCAACACCCGGTGCCACATATCCTCCGGCCACTCTTCACTATGACTACATCCGTGCCTGTAGGAGAAAAAAATCAATATATATATTTTATTTACGACTGCCGTGCTGAAAACATCCAGCTGGACGTTAGACCCCTAGCAAGCTACGTTGATTTGTTAGCCAAGCTAGGCTAACCAGCCCGGCCTTTACTGCTTAAAACACAACCGTCGGAAAGTTTTTGCCTCTCACCCATATGATGCGTGTCTAACTGGACTGTGGGCATTTCTTTGAGAGGAATATGCCCCGTTCCCCCATCTCCCCAGCATCCCAGACAACACGTAAACATTGCAGCCATTTTTGCACGGTGGTCTAGTTACCACAGCCACAAAGTCATAACCTTAAATTAAGACCAAAAAGCACATTTTAGTTTTCATGAATTTTACGATATAGCCAATTTGTGGCTGTGGTAACTAGTGGAAACCTTCTTTGCACTGAAATATTATTCGGAAATAGAGTCACATCGACGAAGTCAACGAGCTCTGAAGGAGCTCATGAGAAAAGCTACCATCATAATGAAACAGGGACACCTGGTGGGAGCTATACCACAGTGACATGAGCCATACATGCGCTCCTCTGAAATGCGTCCAATCACATTGCTTGCGAAGATACGCAAAGGCTCCTGATGGCATGGAAACAAGGGAAGAAAATCAAGGTCAAAGTATTTTTTTACACGTGACTTAGTAGCTTTTGGTTATCAATGTGTCAAGCATTGGGACACATGGCATGATCATGTGTGGAGTGGCAATTCCATCTCCTGTCAAATAAAGGGGAAATGCCTATAATGAACACCACTATTGTTGCTGGGTAGGCCTATATGTAATGAGTCAATTTTTATTTTATTTAAAGGAGCCCTTTCAGTAGCCTATCACCAAGTCTTTTGAGAGCATTTCCAATAAGCTACTTTGTATCTATGCACTGAGCATGGGTGGGGTTGAACATTAATTTACAATGCAAACTCACATGCCTGATGTTCAAACTTCATATATATATATATATATTTATAAACTGGGAGGTTTGATCCCTGAATGCTGATTAGCTGAAAGCCGTGGTATATGAGACCGTATATATCACAGGTATGACAAAACATTTATTTGTACTGATCTAATTACGTTTGTAACCAGTTTATAATTGCAATAAGGCACCTCGGGGTTTGTGGTATATGGGCAATATACCATGGCAATGGGCTGTATCCAGGCACTCCACGTTGCATTGTGCTTAAAACAGCCCTTAGCAGTGGTATATTGGCCATATACCACACATTACAACTTCATAGTGATGTATAAAAGTGGGGTGATAGAGACAGTGATCAAAAGCAGGGTGACTAAGAACCTAGTGGTTGTGACAGTCTTTCATGCTGTAATGTTTTGCATAGCAACAGCCCCCCTCCCCACTCCAATTTGCAGGGATCCTCTGCATTTTTCCTACTGAAAAATAAAACGCATCTTGTTTGTGAAACGTTAAAAAATTTGTGCGTGAAACCATTGTCCATTAATATCACTGAGATGGTTTCATTTTCTGCGCGCCCCTTATATCGGGCGCGTTCTATAGTGCGCGCTATTTGGAGCTGGAAGGTTCGCTACAGTGTAGCACTGTGGCCATGAAATGGTTAATATTTTCTCCCGGAAAAGGGCGAAGTCTGCACAGCAACAAGCACTATGATTGCGTTGCACTGTGCGTCTCAGCAGCTGGTGAGTTGTTTTTATTTTTTTGGGTCCAGTTGCATGTTGCTTTACGCCTGCAAAAGCTGCCATAACCATCCTCAATAACTTGCCAATATGACATACTTGCGTGTGATCTAAATTATACACTGCAACTCGTTTATACTGAGTGGTAATCGTAAGTGTAAGTTTGTGTTTATGTAGCATAGCTTCTACTGCTAAGGAAACGTTTCAGCGGGCTGTTACCGTTGAGGCAGGGAACTTTAGTCGTTACCATCTCATCTGTATATAGAACAGTTGGATGAAACGGTTGTGTTGTGCGTGCTACTTTAACGATTGCGTGATATGTCTAGTGTGAACACTAAAAAGTAGGTCGTTGAACATAGGCAAAATAGGGTCCGTGGCGAAGGGTCTTTCAGCCAAATAGCCAATGCAACTAGCATGACGTTCCACTGCGCTTTCTATTTTCATATTTTACGCGGATACATCGACGCTTCTCCTTTTCCTATTGACGGTGGCTGAATTTTTACACCAGTCGCTGTGTTGAATACTCCGTGCGTTTCATCCAAAGTGTTGTCGTGCGTGATTCTAGTGATGTGCATTTCCACCATCACTGGCTCTGAATCATTGCGCTGCTGGGTGATGTAGATAAACAAACGGGTATGTATGACTGATTAATAGTGTATTGAGCTATTCTTTTCGATTAGTTCTCCACTCAATCCTGGTTGTCTGTTTATTTTTTTGCAGAACACCATGGAGCTTCTAGAGGAGGACCTCACCTGCCCAATTTGCTGCTGTCTCTTTGAGGACCCCCGAGTTCTGCCATGCTCGCACAGCTTCTGCAAGAAGTGCTTGGAGGGGATTCTGGAGGGGAACAACCGAGGACCCGTTTGGAGACCCCCATTCAAATGCCCCAGTTGCCGCAAGGAGACCCCTCAAAATGGCATAAACACCCTCCAGATCAACTACTCGTTACGCGGAATTGTGGAGAAATACAACAAGATCAGAGTTTTACCCAGGATGGCCCTGTGCAAACACCACAGTGGTCAACCGCTTAATATATTTTGTGCCACAGACTTGAAACTTATTTGTGGATTTTGCGCAACAACTGGCGACCATAAAGGACATCAATTCTGTGCCCTGGAAGACGCATATGAGCAGGAGAAAGCTGCATTTGAGGAGCTGTTCCAGGGAGTCCAGAGCTGGCGCAGAGCAGATACCCTAACCTGCCTGGAGACACTGGAAGCCAGTAAGAAAAAGGCACTCCAGTTGGTTTCCAGGGATGCAGAGAAAGTAACAGACTATTTCGTCAAACTGATCAGCACCCTGGACCACAAAAAGAACGAGATCCTCTCTGATTTCGAGACGCTGAAGTTGGTGGTAATGCAAGCCTACGACCCCGAGATCAACAAACTAAGCGCTGCATTGGAGGAGCAGAGGCGCGCGCTCAGCATCGCTGAGTCCTTCAGGAATGTGACCGACCCCCTCTGCTTCCTCCAGCAGATGCAGGAGTTCAGGGAGAGGTTGCGCGTTGTCTGGGAAACGCCGCTCCCCTCCCAGAGAGACATGGACGTCGGTCCCCTGGTCCGGAACTTCGACGTCAAAAACTGGGACTCAGTGAAGCTCAAAGATGTGGACAAGCTCTCGGTCCCCCACGAGAGTAGCGCGTATAGCTCAACGACCCGGCGTGTCGGCGGCAGAACACTGGGGAGAGTCATCATGATTGTTGTGTGCCTGTTACTATGCGTCCTGGTGCTTCTGCAGCCGGACAGCCTGACCACGGTGTCAGCCCAAGTCTCCTCGCTCTGCCATGCCTACCTGCCCGTGCTGGCTGGCTGGCTGGAGCTGGCTACCGGTGCGTGGCAGTGCTGGAGAGAAGTAGTGGATGCCTGCGTTTGCCTGGTGGGTTCGTGGCTGAAATGTATCCTGACCCTCTTTCACACAACTGGCGTTTTTCTTGAATGCCTCATAAACACAACGGGCGAATTTCTTGGACGTCGTAGGTTGCTTTAGATTTCCAAATGTGTTATTTTTGGATTAGAAGCAAGCTGCAGCAGTCTGATATTGAAAGCCTATATGTAAAAGTTATAGGCCTAAGTAGATTTATAGCTAACACTAGAAAGCTATTCAAGTATTTACAAGCACATATGTATCATGCATTTAGTATCATTTTATATAGGATATATAAACAGAACAACCATACAATACTAACGAGAATCAACACTATTGCAGTACAGTCGCGGTCAAAAGTTTTGAGAATGACACAGGTATTGGTCTTCACAAAGTTTGCTGCTTCAGTGTTTTTAGATATTTTTGTCAGATGTTACTATGGTATACTGAAGTATAATTACAAGCATTCCATAAGTGTCAAAGGCTTTTATTGACAATTACATTAAGTTTATGCAAAGAGTCAATATTTGCAGTGTTGACCCTTCTTTTTCAAGACCTCTGCAATCTGCCCTGGCATGCTGTCAATTAACTTCTGGGCCACATCCTGACTGATGGCAGCCCATTCTTGCATAATCAATGCTTGGAGTTTGTCAGAATTTGTGGGGTTTTGTTTGTCCACCCGCCTCTTGAGGACTGACCACAAGTTCTCAATGGATTAAGGTCTGGGGAGTTTCCTGGCCATGGACCCAAAATGTTGATGTTTTGTTCCCCGAGCCACTTAGTTATCACTTTTGCCTTATGGCAAGGTGCTCCATCATGCTGGAAAAGGCATTGTTCGTCACCAAACTGTTCTTGGATGGTTGGGAGAAGTTGCTCTCGGAGGATGTGTTGGTACCGTTCTTTATTCATGGCTGTGTTCTTAGGCAAAATTATGAGTGAGCCCACTCCCTTGGCTGAGAAGCAACCCCACACATGAATGGTCTCAGGATGCTTTACTGTTGGCATGACACAGGACTGATGATAGCGCTCACCTTGTCTTCTCCGGACAAGCTTTTTTCCGGATGCCCCAAACAATCGGAAAGGGGATTCATCAGAGAAAATGACTTTACCCCAGTCCTCAGCAGTCCAATCCCTGTACCTTTTGCAGAATATCAGTCTGTCCCTGATGTTTTTCCTGGAGAGAAGTGGCTTCCTCGCTGCCCTTCTTGACACCAGGCCATCCTCCAAAAGTCTTCGCCTCACTGTGCGTGCAGATGCACTCACACCTGCCTGCTGCCATTCCTGAGCAAGCTCTGCACTGGTGGTGCCCCGATCCCACAGCTGAATCAACTTTAGGAGACATTCCTGGCGCTTGCTGGACTTTCTTGGGCACCCTGAAGCCTTCTTCACAACAATTGAACCTCTCACCTTGAAGTTCTTGATGATCCGATAAATGGTTGATTTAGGTGCAATCTTACTAGCAGCAATATCCTTGCCTGTAGACGGCACGTGTTTCCTTGCAGGTAACCATGGTTAACAGAGGAAGAACAATGATTTCAAGCACCACCCTCCTTTTAAAGCTTCCAGTCTGTTATTCTAACTCAATCAGCATGACAGAGTGATCTCCAGCCTTGTCCTCATCAACACTCTCACCTGCGTTAACGAGAGAATCACTGACATGTCAGCTGGTCCTTTTGTGGCAGGGCTGAAATGCAGTGGAAATGTTTTTTGGGGGATTAAGTTCATTTTTCATGGCAAAGAGGGACTTTGCAATTAATTGCAATTCATCTGACCACTATTCATAACATTCTGGAGTATATGCAAATTGCCATCATAAAAACTGAGGCAGCAGACTTTGTGAAAATTAATATTTGTGTCATTCTCAAAACTTTTGTTGTCAGATTTGAGAACAGCTTGTTTGGTGAATGTTAAGCAGCAGCTCTGTCCTGGAGCACCATCCATCCTTCTCCAAGCCATATGATCACAGTAACACTGACAACCACAGGTCATAGCCTGAGTCACCTCATGATCTTTATTTACTTTAATATGCACATGCCATAGGCTAGATTATTTAGCAAAGGCCTAATATTTACACCTAGTTTGAATGTCTGAGTTTGGTTTATTTTTGCCTTAAGTTTACTGACAGTCTGTTGAGTTGTCATAACGGCCCATAACGCCTCATACCGTGTCACCAGCCTCATCTTTTGCCTAATAAAACTTCAATTTGGTATTTTTCATCATCTTTATTTTTGAGTGACCTGAGGGGGTTTCACCAAAATTGTCCCGGCTGTTTTACGCACATGAACTTTTCTGGTCAACATCAGAAGTGAAGCCTCCTCTATTGATGCGCACACTGCTCAAGTGAGATGAAATACTGACATTATGAAATGCCATGCACTCGCTCAGGCGTTCCAAATTCTTGTTTGATGCTCGCCTTCCTTGTTGATCCGTCATCACTGCGCGATTTAACCTCCACGGGGGGCAAGGTTGAATGTTGCGTAACTATACAAACATCAGCTTGGTTTGTCTAAATATCACATTAGGCTATATAGCAACTTAATTTATTATTTAAAAAATGTTTTGGGGCCTTTAGGCCTAGGAATACGTTATGAACACAGTGCCAATTTCTTTTTTGGCCTATGGGGACTTTTTATTTTTGCAAAATTGAAAAGGCAATAATAGGCCTAATCTAATTCTCAAATTCCATTCACAACAACTAATTATAGCCTACACATCTGGGATGAAATACAGATTGAATCAACTGTCCCAGTCCAGTGAATGTCAATGTGTGCTCAACTTTGAATGCCACAGCTTGTCATAGATGGCCATGGTTTGCCTACACTGGGCAACTATGCAGGTCATGCATGTTGCAAGTGGATCACGAAGAGCAATTCTTACTTCTTAGAACTCATCCAATTTTTTGTTTAGCTCACAGTATTCCAATTTATAGAAATCAAACCATGTCATAGGCCTACAACGTTTCAATTGAAAATTGCGGCAATGCATCCATATCGGTCCAATAAACATTAACGTCCATTGGTCATGTCCTGCAGTTTTGACTTTTCCGAAGGAACGAAATCCTGACGGAAATCCCAGGATCAGACAACAAACCTGTCATGAACCTATGATGTAAGCGCTGACCACAATTCAGGACCAACGTCATGGCACGTATATATATAGCCGACTGTTGCCGGGCAAATAAGGGATGAAAATGTAAAGTTGGTCTTTCTCTTTCCTATAATAACAATTAATAATATAACTAATACGACTTCAAACAAATGCAAAAATACCTATATATTATATAATTAGGCATAATCAATTCATCTAAATGCACCCAAAAGATTGGGTGATGACATGATGTGATGAAATGGTGCCTGCATGCAAAACGATCTTACATAACCATCCTTTTCTAACAATTCCTATGAATTATTCAAAATCGAACTAAATTCAACATATTGAATAACATTCCGTAGGAATAGCATAGGCTATACCCTAATGGCCTATGGTGCGCAAATTGCGCAATCAACAGAACTGTGGCTCAGATAGGCCTTACTTTACAATAAAACAGGGCCATTGAAGTCGTATTTAGACCCCAAAAATGTTATCGACCAAATGTAGATATTTAATTTATATGATGAACATCAGGTGTTTAAGAATGTATATATATGCAATAGCTTAGGTTGAGTCTGACTGACTAGTGAATTGTATTATTTCTAAAGTAAAATAATGAGTCTTATATGAAGGAACAGCTGCGCACTTAAATAAATGCGCATTTAATTACCAGAATAAAAATATATTTTTAAACAAGTGATTGGTAGCCTTTACCAAACGCGCAACGAGAGGCTATAATGCGTGGCGGAAACTTCCCCAAACAGACTTGTTATTTTATATTTCAAAGGCACTTCATCTTCAGACGTAAAATTAGGGCCTCTCACTAAATAGTCTCAAATAATTTCACAAAATAAAGCATGGAAAAGTCATGGCAAAGAAAGGGGTGCTCTTCAAAATAGTTTTAAGAGAAAATACCCTTAAATACCCTTAATTTTAAAAAAAATCGGTAATTATGTGCAGTGACAAAGTTTGGGAAGTAAAATATAAATGCATAGGACTATTTTCGACCAGAGTAAAGCAGTCTATACACCCACAGCCTGCATAAAGTAAACTCCCCTGAAAAACTCGCCATTGTCGATACCCGAAATAGGTCTGTAGAAGTAATTTAGCAATTAAGTTTTATTTAGTCTAAGCATTTAATGGCAAAAATGTATCATATGTAGCGTTTAAATATGATTTAAATAGCCTTATAAAAACGTGTGGGAGGCGGATCATTTCGGGATGGTAGCCTATAGTGAAATGTGTGTAGGCTAGGCCTACGTGTGTATTATACTTAATTAACATCTTGCTTTACAAAGTCAGAATTAGCCTAAAATAAGATATGCACGAATAAACCATGCAAATCCTGACTCTGCGTTTATCTGTCCATTGTAGCGAGTGATAAGTCCCGTGTAGCTCAGTAGGTAGAGCATGGCGCTTGCAACGCCAGAGTTGTGGGTTCGATTCCCACGGGGGACCAGTATGAAAATGTATGCACTCACTAACTGTAAGTCGCTCTGGATAAGAGCGTCTGCTAAATGACTAAAATGTAAAAATGTAAAGTGATAAGCCCTTTTCCCTTCAATTGGCATTGCCGCGCTCTGCACCATTTGCTTGTCACAATAACGGTAGCCTCGGCTTCCAGGCCTCGCTCACGTTGAAAGCTTGGTAGAGGCTACAAAAATCAAGCATGTTATAGGCAAGCCAGAGACTATGAAATCAATTTGCTGAAGTTTCACAATAATACAAAATACACACTATAGAATATAGGGCGTGGTTTGGTGGTTGACCATTCGCCTTAAAATCTCATAATTTGATTTTAGGCTACAAGTGATAGATAATGGGACTCATCTTGATAACAGGCGACGGGGTTTATGCCATGTGTGACAATTTATTTTATATAGGAATTGATCAAATTGCTTTGTTTATGCTAGCTGGCACAATATATAGTCAATGTAGACTATCCTCTTTTAAATGTATGATAAAATAGGCATGCTACAGGTCTATAGAAAGGTCACATAAGGAATATCATTGGGACATTTCAAATTGGCCAA